AGAGTTTCCTGTCTTTACCTTGATGTCTCCAGTCTCTTTCTCCTTGTACTGGACGCCCGTTACGCAGCCGCCCTCCTCCTGCAAACTGCTCACGGTGCCTTCTACGAATGTGACACTGGGGGGCGCAATGAGACAGTCAGACACTTCAGCGTGCATGGGCAACATGAAGAGAGTAAATGTTCCCCCATAGGGTGGAAATGGTAAATTCTGATGGTTAAGCAAATACTATTACATAATATTAAGGGCTTTTCAGTGAACCATCATTGACTTTTCTTAAAATAATTTTTTTCTTAAAGTACATTTAACCAGCCATTGATACATTAAAATAACACTATTAAACTACCTTACACAAAGCATGATGGACAATAGCAGTTTCTTAACTCAGCGTCTGCTTTGCAGCTTTTTTCAGGGCTGAGATTATGATTAAAGGAGCAGTTGAAACCTCCAGAAAAAGCCAGTCAGTGGCTCTTGAGTTAGGATTTTCTTTGTCAAACGAGTCATGTCACTTGGTTTTATAGAGCAGAACAAATCAGGGACATTTAAGGACAAGGAAGGAGGCAGCCAGCAGATTTTAAATGATACCGCTGTTCCTTCCAAACCCTCAGTGCTGTCAGAAACAATGTCATCTCATTAGCCACTTGGCACACGAACTCCTCTTTTCTCGGCTCTGCTCACTTTGGCTCAGCCAGGGCGGCTCTCCTCAGGCCCATGATGAATCGACCGTGATGGAAAGCGCGACCACACTGGATGCTGGTCTCCTCCTGAGGGTAGGGGATCTCCACCTCTGTGCTGCTCTCCATGTCATGGATCACGTAGCCGTTCACCAGATGGGCATCCAGACCCTCAACTGAACCTGAGGCCAAACACGCGCAACAGGTTACGGTTTCACAGCACACATTCATTATTCATGCAGTCTGCTGCTGCTTACATACAGCATCTGCGTGAGTGAATGCAGATGACATGGAGAGAAGTTTGACTGTTCAGCTGTTGAAATGAATTTCACAGAGGTAAGACCAATGAAATGAAGTGAGCAGATTTAGCCCTCAACATACAGTTTTTAACCTTTAACCTTCTTTTCCACACAGTGTGACAATCTCACAAATATTCTGTATCATCCTGTTCCAACGGCTCATTGACACTTTAATATTCAAACCTAAGACTACACGTTTTATGGCTGCACTATTACATCAAATTGAAATATTCCAGATGTATTTTGCTCTTTTACCTCCTTTTATACACATTTTCTCTAAAATTCATCCAGTAATATTTCATATCTTTCAAACCTTTAGCATCTCGACCTGAATTTAAAACAAAGATTTGTCAATTAATTTAATTGTGAATTAAAGAGAGATTTTTTTGTGTGATGTGGTCACTGTAACATCACAGATAGTCACAGACACATTAACATTTTGGAAATATTTAGGTTATTCTTTCTTTGTGTGACACACTGATATAAATGATCTTCTCACCGTGATGAATGAGCAGTTTACATTTTCGGTCAAACTGGGTCAATTTGTTCTTTGGATGATTTACAAAGAAAAGTACCAGGTTTTCTCAGTTCCAGAGGAGATTTGTTATTAGAACTACTTGAGTATGATCAATGCAGAAGGCTAATACTTTTAATGAGGTGACTCAGAGTAAAAGCTATCATCTTACACTGAATTTCTTTGACCATGCTGATCAGTATGCAGTGTACATATAGATTAATAGAAGCAGGTGAGAAATCTTAGTTATTTCCTGAACACATTCCATATTTAGAACTGAATAAACAGCAATCAGAGTTAGTTCAGAAAAAAGTTCAGAAAAAAAAACATCTGAGTCTGTGACTTCCTTTAAATCCCTTGTTAAAACATATGTTTATCAGAGAGCTGTGTTTTTATTTCTCTTAAAATTACTCTGTATTGGTTTTTATACACTTGATTGCTTTATCTGTTTTTTTTAACTGGAACCTATTGATTTTCTTGTCTAGTTTATTTTGCCGCCTTTGTCAAGCACTTTGTGATGTGGAAAACTCTGAAAACTGTTTTATAAATTATTATCATTATCATCAGACAAAACAACACACAACAAACTGTCACCAGATTCTGACTCAGATATTTCTAATTCCAATTGGTGCAGAGAGAAACGTAACATCACCTTTTCCAACTGAGCCCTGCCCACTTCAAACCGGTGAACAACACAGCACAGACAAAACACTGTGAAACAACCGTAATCATACGTTCATGTTGGACCCCATCGCTCTAGTAAGAAGCTATGGAGATAGTTGGTTTTTAGGACCTTTAACCTCTTTGACAACAAATGCAAAAAACAGCTTGCGATGAGACAGAGCACCATGATCACAGAGTAGATTCACAGCTCTCAGGCCGCAGGAGCTTCTGTCACTGACCTTCCAGCCCGAGCTCTTTCAGAGCCCTGTATCCTCCAGGCTGCAGCAGCTCCCCAACTATCCTGTCAGGCTCCTTCAGGTCCCTCTCCACCACAACTACCCTCCTCCCGTCCCGGGCCAGGACAGCTGCCATCGCTGAGCCCAGGACCCCGGCCCCAACTATCACCACATCTGGCTCGTCCGGGGCCACAGAGGAGCTGCTGGCTGAGGCACTGTCTCTGGCAGAGGTGTCGGCATCGACTCTTTTCCTCGTTCTCCGACGCTGATAAACAATGAGAGCCTCATCACACACAGTGTAAAGTCCAAACTGAACTGACATGTACATTTTTTTACACTTCATCAAATAATCAGCCGTGTTCCTCTGATTTCAGTTGCAGTCTTTGAATATATAAACACACATGAACATTTGCCGCACTTGTCTTTAGCTCAGAGATGGTTGAATAAAACTTAAGAAAACTAATTTTGAGAAAGATTTTGATAACAAAAATTAAAACAGCTGAATGAAAATAATAAAAGACTCAAATTGAATGGAAAACTAGTCATGCTTTCTTTCTATTATCTCCCTGTGTCTTCCTTTGTTCACAAAACCAACATGAATCCATATGAATTCTCTTACCTTTGTGCAGTTGTTCTCTGCTCTCTCGCTCCTCTGTGTTGAAGTTTGAGGGATTAAGTGGTTGATAAGAGGAACTAAAGACAGGAGGCTCAGAGGCAAATGTAACACCTGAGAGAGTCTGAGCTTATGCCCATGAAAATACCTGATATAAGAGAGCAGCAGCCCAACTGTGAGGAATAAGGCTGCGGTCATCGCCAGCTCTTTGTGAGCAAAAGTCAAAACTATCTCCGATTTTTTGTAAAGGTATGTGAAGCTCGCTATTCCCAAAAAAGTCCACATGTTTTTAGAATTTAAAAAATCTAAATGATAGTAATGGTGAAAGAGTAAGGCTGAGAAACAGGTTTTCTTTAGGCTGATAAAAAAAATCACCACGTAGAAAGAAACAATTATAAATGATTCTTCATTGTTTCTCAGTTGCTCCAAAAAATTAAGTCAGCCAACCCAAAACAAACTATTACCTTTGTAAGTCATGATAATGTGTTCACAGACAGTCAGAGGGATGCTGCTGAATAATTTATGCTAATGAGAAACACGGACTACTTCGGATTCGGTGGCTTCGCGTCCCGCCTCCTCCACAGCTCAACCGTCCAATCAGGAGTGACGCGACGGTGAGCAGAGCTCACGCTATCCGCTGACTGGACAGCCTTGCCGGTGATGGGCCTCCCCTCAGCCGCTGATTGGACAGCGGGACAGCAGGCTGGTAGTATGATGTGATGTCAGTGGAAAGGTGAGTGTCTCATCTATTTGACAGAGCAGAGGCTGGGTGAGAGGGGCACCCGGAGCAGAGATGGTTCATGTTTGACAGGATAAATCACTCTGAGGTGTAAACCAGAACCATCTTTTTGGCTGCAGGTCAAATATCGTAGCCTAAACAGAGATTGAAAGCTGTTACCATAGCAACAAAAGTGGGGATACTAAAAACAAATCTCACTAATTATACAAAACACATCACAAAAATACACATTTTAGCAATAAATATTGTGCTGCCAAATAGATAGTCTGTACTTGTATCAGAAGAAACAGGGAAAAAATGGCACGTTCACGTTTATATTCTGAATAATAAATCAGAATCACACAGGCGATATTCATGGTACCCAGAAAAAGAGGCAGAGTGACAGCTCTTACCAGTGCCCAGTGGTAAAATAAAGCTTTTGTTTGGAAAAGTCAACAGACTGTGTCAAATGTCTTTGGATATGAACAGCCAACTTCAAATACTGGAAATAGTTGTGATGTAAAGATTATTTATCAGGTCCCACAACACAAACAACGTCTGTCAGATTAATCACATATGACAGATGGAGAAGCTGTGGTGAAAAGAATGTAACCCAACCACATTTTAATTTTCTTCCCAGAGCTAAAAACCTACTGGCAATCGCTTATAACTTTAATTATGAAAACATTTAGAACTAAACAAGCAGTTAAACCAAAAACTTTTTTAGATAAATCACCTCACATAATTGTAGTAAGAGAAAAATATCTACCACATATAGAATGATAAGAATTGCAGCTAGGAAACAACTAATGATAGGAAGTACCCCACCTTCATTTCAATGGATGGAAAGAATAACCTACAGAACTACAAATCAACATGAAGTAAATGATTTGATTATGGGGCCACACTTATTACATAATACTGATGAGTATATTAGACTTGGACAGAAATAGGAATGCCATAATAGACAGCTCAGCCTTGAGAGGTAGGAAATGTAATGGAATAATTTTGCTCATAAAAAATTATTTGTTTTTTATCCATTAAAAATAACGTATTTTTCAAATTAAGTTAAAGTTTAAGTAAGTTCACATAAAAAGTTTTTCTTTTTTGTGGGTTTTTGTTAAAGCAAAAATGTGACAAAATATTATAAAATTGCAGATATGATGTAATATCAATATTATACATTTTGTTCTCATGCAATAAAGTATGAAAGACAATAAAATGATGATGATGTGATTCAATTGTCTAGATTTAAGCTGAGAAACAACACAACGTGTCAAGTTTATTGTGAATTTTTTTATTACATAGTTATGCTTCCTCATCAGTCATCAGCTAAGATGAATACAACCTTGTTAGATCAAACCAGGTGACATTTGTATAGCACTAGTGATACACAATGACACGCATACAGTATTTAAAACATGTTAATGAATGAGTGAATTAGTCCAATGTACTGTATGATACCGAAACATTTCAGCTCTCTGCTCACAGTGTTCACATCTGGATTTACACTTTCTTGTTTAGTGAAACAACTGCAGTTATGCGGTGCAGTAATTATTTATCCCACTGGGATTAATTAAGTGCTCTACATGTGTAGCAGTGTGTTGGATCTGCTCACCAGTGTTTCATCACCAGCACCAAAGTAGAACAGCTTCTATTTAATGTCAACAGCCTCCATCTACAGACACAGGGAGGTAACATTTTTATTATATGTAGTGATTAAAGATGGATTCATACTTTTCTTGCTTCCCTGATGTGACTTTGGGTTCACCGTTCTTCTTGATGAAGGCCTGAAATAATAAACAACAGAATTTTTTAATTTGGGATCATCCTCTTTTCATCCTCATTTAATCAGTAGCTCAACAAGCAAATCCCACTGAGGAGCTCAAGTGGAGTTTTACCTCCATCTCCTCTAAGGAAGCAGAACCATCCTCCACTTTCTGACCAAGACCATGACTGAAGCTTGAGTATCGCTCCTGTTAAAATCAGACATAACCAGTTACACATAAAACAGAAGGTACCATGTTTCCCAATCATATTTTTCATGAAGATTATGATTTACTCTCTAGCTGCACATACATACACATACACATGGACATACCTTCACCATACCGGTGATAATCCCGTCCTCAATGATGCGTACAGCATTCCTCAGTCCTCTTGCGAAGGCGTCCATGGCTCCGATGTGAGCTATGAACAGGTCTTCCAGGTCTGTGGACTCTCTGCGCACCTTAGCATCAAAGTTCAGGCCTCCAGGCTGCAGACCACCCTGTTCAACGATGGTCTGGAAAAGATGAGGCACTGAGGGATAACTGATCTTGAACAGTTGTTGCAGTACTACTGGAGTGAGCCAAAGCATTTATTTCAAAAGTCTAACATATATTTACAAAAGATGCTAATCTGTGTTATCATTTATAAACCAGGGAGTAGTATAATAGATGATTATACGAAGATTAAAACTGCAGCAATCAGTAATTTTTATTTACAGTGGATCAAATGATAAAGTGTAATGTGAAAGGAGTCGCATATAAAAACAAACAGAGGATTATCATCAATTCTGCATTTCACCTCAGAGTTTTTTAGCCTCTTTAGCTCATTTTTGTTTGTTTATGTTTTTTAGTTTTTTTTCTGTGTTTTCCTGCTCCTCTTATTAATCTTGTTTACTGAGCAGCTGTTTTCAATGAAATAAGCTCAGATAAGTCTGCTTTAATCTCCCCAGACAGACAAAGTTATGGTTGGTGAACATAGTGGAGCATTTAGCTGCTAATAAGTCATATATTTATCTTAAGAGCGGGTGGAGACCAAAGCAGAAAGAGTGAATTCTGGACTGAATCTAACTGTAGCCAGAGACACGACTTCAAAGAAATGCTAAATAGAGAACTGTTTGCTAACACGTTCGTCCTATCAACTTTATTAGGTGATACTATGTCAGTGTTGTATTTACAGCTCATTCCAGTGCCTCCAAGTGGCCAAAAGAAAATTTTATACTGCTTCAACCAAATGTTTCATCTAACCAATCATTACAAATGTTAGCAAAAGCTAATTTTTTTTTTAATCTTTATCCAAAAGTCTTTGGACAAAGTCACCTTCAGGCACATCCATCTTCAGCAATAAATTCCTGTTCCAAATCAAAGCTCACCTTCATGACCAAGGTGGTGTTCCTAATGTCCATGGGGAACTGGTCTGTGTCCCACCCCAGGTCAGGAGAGCCGGTGTTCGAGTCGACCGAGCCCAGCATGCCAAACCTGTCCACCAGCAGGCGAGGATGATACGGAACATTTAGCATATGTCAAGGTAAAGCTGTCATGGTGATAAAGATGCTGATTGACATTAAGTTAAAATTCTGTCAGCAGGTAAGGTGTCTCACGCAGAGGCCATGACAATATCATGTTCGTAGGAGTGTCCTGCCAGGGTGGTGTGGTTGGGCTCAATGTTCAACTTGAAGTGACTCTCCAGGCCATAATGCTTAAGGAATCCTATAACACTCATAGCATCTGTTGAAGGAAACAGTGAAGTATAAAACTGTGAAACAGTGAGATCAAAGAGCAGATCTGCTTTGTTTAAATTTGTGTTAAAGGGTCTTCACCATAATCATACTGGTGTTTGCAGGGCTCCTTAGGCTTTGGCTCAATCAGAAACTGGCACTTTAACCCAATCTTCTCTTTGTACTCTGATGACAAATATACACATATGAAAGTGAGACTGTTACTCATAACACAAGACTGACCGAAACCCAGATTCATAATTCATTCCACTTACCAACAGCCATTTTGAAGAAGCTGGCCATGTGCTTCAGCTCAGCAGCAACATCTGTATTATGGATGGAAAGAAAACCTTCTCTTCCTCCCCAAAACACTGAGAAGACAAATGATTGATTGATTGATTGATTGATTACAGTGAGGACACATATTGATATTTTTACATCTAGACAAAATAACACCATCAAGTCCCTCATACCAAAATTTTCAGCACCCAGCTTCTTTGCAATATCCAGTCCCTTCTTGACCTGAGCGCCAGCGTAGGCCAGAACATGACAGTCGGGGTTGGTGGCTGCACCATTCATGTACCTGTGACATAAAGTTTACACATGAAATGTCCGTATAATGATGCTAAAACACAGCACAGAGGACGAAAGACAGAAGAAGGTTTCCTAAAGATCCGTGTAAAATATCCACCTTGGGTGGGCAAAGAGGTTGCAGGTGACCCAGAGCACCTTGACTCCGGTCCGGCTCTGCAGCTGGAGGGCCAGGTCTGTTATTTCATCCAGATTCATGTTGGACTCCTGCAGTGTGGAGCCCTCAGGGGCCATGTCTCTGTAGGAAACAGTGGACAGCTTTGGGCTTCGTACAGAACACTGTCTAATCAAACCTGTCTTCATTAGATTTTGTTGGTTTTAACGACTTTTAAATGCAGTTACCTGTCATGAAATGTGTAATATTTAACCTGTGAAAACAAGTGGAGGTCACAAAGGAAATGAAATGCATTAATGTTCATTCTGCATTGATTGGCTACGTGTAAAAGTAACTTATAATTATTCAAATCAGGGGAACTCCCTCACGCCAAGCTTGGTGAAAAACTCAAAAGCAGCACAGAGTCGCCTCTTGGCTGATTCCATGGGAGTCCCTTCATTCCAGGGCCGGTGGAGTGTCTGAAACCCAAAAGGATCAGCACCTAAGAAAGATGATAATTATAATAATAATAAAAAAAAAAGAAATAACATCTGGCAACCTCAAGTTAAACAGATGATTATATCTGTTTAAAATAAGGTATAAAGACAGATTATAAAGATCTTTTAAAGGCTCCGAGAACAGTTGCAAGTGTTTATCGGAGCCTGAATTAAACAAAGCCTGAATATGAAAGCCACATTTGAGCCACTGCCACAGACTGTTTGATGACGGATCATTAATGTGAGAGGTGGGTCAGTTGTTACAGTACCAGTCCCACAGAAGGAGTGCCAGTAGCAGACTGAGAACCTCAGCCAGTCCTCCATCTTCCTCCCCATCAGCACCTGCACACAGGAACACTGAACTCTGACCAGCTTCCCTCACTCAGTACACGTGACAACACAATATCACCAGGGTTACAGTATATCCCCACACCATGCACATCATCCTAACTGTTGTGTGCGTGCGTGCGTGTGCGCGCGCGCGTGTGTGTGTGTGCGTGCGTGTGTGCGTGTGTGTGTGTGCACCACACCTACCTCCTCTGCATTGTAGTGTTTGAAACACATGACATCTCCCGGCCCAGCACTGGGAACATATGGGATCTTGGGAATGCCTGTGAAGCAGGTTATGCAATATTTAAAGAAAGAAAGGCTTCACTAACATGAAGTGTGACATATGGATATGCAGTTATAGCGATTTAACATAAACATATGTCACTACAGGGGATAGGAGAGTGCAGAATATCACTGTAAAACTTTTGTTGACACACATTCAGGGTTGTTACTGTTTGTAAACCAGCAGTGACTGCAGTGTCACCTGCTGTAACAGACACGTGGGCGCAAACAGACCTAACTAATGTGGATTGATACTTTTGAATAACGTGTCCTTCACTGTTGCCCGCTCGCTGTTCAAACAGGACATTTAACGTCCACAACACACACATACACACTCACACACACACGCAGCAGAAAGTGAACGCAGCAGTTTTGAGCACTGAAATAATGTGATTTACCCGAAAAGAATTCTTCCTGAGCTGACATTTCTGCAGAGCAACAACGTTCCTGTTGACAGGCTGCAAGTTTGTCCACGTCCTTCTTCCCAAAACAAAGAGTGCAGTTCCCTCTTCAGCCACAAGGTGTCGCTAAATCCCTTCAGAACAGGACAGTGGTACCGGTTATATACTGGTTCAGCTGGGACGGTTTGATTTTGAGGTTCAGTGCAAACATTTACAGGGAAACTAAAGTTCAATCGGACATATGACCATATGGCAATCACAGGTATAGGCTTAATATGTACGTCAGTGTAATGTATGTCTCTCACTTATAACCAACACAAGTCACATATATGCACATATACACACATATTTTGAAATACAGCAAAAATTATTTTTTTTATAACTTGTCAATTAAGTTTTACTGATACACATATATAGCGTATATATTCTTCTTCTATCATAATACAGATTCCCTGTATAAGTGGTGTGAATATAGGCTGGTGTTATATATTTTATCACATATATTCTAATGTACGTATATGGGGTATAGATATTCTTACTCATGTTAATTAGACACCCCATCATTTTGTGGATTTGAACTCCACTTATTATTTGGAGGAAACAATGCCACATACAGTTAGATTAGATATCCCAAAATATTGAATTCTTGTATGTGTATGTATTTAAATCTTGGCTTCATACTTTTGGTTCAGTAATGAAGTTGGTGATAATGGCAGTTCATTTCTTTTCAGTACTTTACATTTGATTTAAATACTCCAGCTTCTCTCTCTCTCTCTCTCTACTTTTGTGTAACATAAAACATATCAGACTAATGTAATTATATTTTAAAATATTTTGCAAAACAAACTTAAAATTATAAATGAGGTACATGGTTGTAATTCATGTTGTTTGTAATTTATATACCAATCTGTATTTAGTAATGTATAGTCATATGGTCACACTGGTCACAAGTTATAAACAAATTAAATATATGTGAAAAAATAGATATTTGATCAAAATACATGTACAATATAATAATAATAATATAATGTTAATATATGGCTGTATACTCCTCTGGAGTTCTCAGGAATTTAGTTGTTTTTAATATTTCCATTGTCTTGACTAATATTAAGAATGTGTTGTTGTTTGTTGTGCATGAGTCTGTGTTAAAGAAAGAAAGAATAAGCTTAACCCAGCTCATGGCTTTCAGAATGAGTATTATGTGATAATAGATATACTTCACTTCCTTAAACCATTCTTCAAGTATTCAGTTCCTTTTTTTTTTTTTTACGTTTTTGCTCTTACTAACATTTGTACCCATCCATGCTGCTTTCATTTCCTTATAGTTGGGAGGTGAATCTTTATCCACAGCAGCACCTCAACATTATCCGCAGGGAAAACAACATATTTTCATTCCTGCTCTGTCAACTTCCAGTGTGCTTGTGGCCTTTATGCAAAGACAAAAGTGAAGAAATGAGGCATGAAACGATAAATGTAACTGGCAAACACGACACCACAAAGTTCAATACAGTGTGTTTATTTCAATTACAATGGCGCTTTTATAAAATATCTGATGCAGAAACATCAACAGAAATGTAGAAATGATAAGAGGATACCATACACACATAAACCATAAATACATATTAACACACTGTAGAAAAGTACACATTATCCTTTAGAGCCTTTGGTCTGGAACATACGCCAGGTGGCAACAACAAACATTCGCAGAAGAAAAGTTCTCTGTGCACCACTGAAGCCCTATCATATTTCATATCAGTATAGAATATACAGTGCACACATGATGCTGTTTGCCTTCTACCATTATGAAAGAATGTTTTGCTTTTTTTTTTAGGGATTTACAACCCTGTGGGATCCTGACAGTTGTCCATTTTCATAATGCTAAAATTTTTGCATAATATAAAGATAGAATGAAAGGCAAAGCAAAGACGACCAAGCACCAGGCACTGTAGAGTGAGGCACTTGAGCACCTAACACCTGTAGTTTGGCATCATGACATTTGGCACATGAGGGTGGCGTTGCACTTTTAACTGCATGTGTGTGTGCGTGTGTGTGTGTGTGTGTGTGAGAGAGAGAGAGAGAGAGAAACCTCTCCAGGAAAACTCCCACCGCCTTCTCCTTACAAACCTGTTGTGCATCTGCCAACAACTACGTGAGCGAGTTACATTCATTCTCTTCATATTTACACTTCCACCCTTATCCTGACGAGGCGTCCAGTCTGTCGCGTCGGGGGGAAAAGTGCTCCATTGTTCGATAAGTTTATTCTTTTCCACCACTTGCACATGCGCTTGTTGGTTTCCTTGGGCTTCGTCAGTGTATCCTGGATGGCCCAATGAGAGGGGGAGCTGCTATGATGTGGAGGAGTCTGGCTGGCTGAGGTCCCTCTTCCTTTTCTTCTTCTTCTTCTTGCCTCTGCAGGGCTTACAGACACAGCACAGGATGCAGGGCGAGGCCAGCAGGAGGAGCGGAGATGTCACCAGCACGATGATGCTGACCCCCACCAGGATTCCCACCACCTGATGGAGAACAATAACAAGGTCTTTAAAGCAGCACCACTCAATACTTTCATATTAACAATGGATCAAATGACTGTAATTTGACAGGAGTCGCTGACAGGGGCAAACCCACAGAGAATTATCACCACAGTTTCCCCCAGCTCCACCGAGCCTTCTTAGCACCTTTCTATTTCCTGTTTTGGTTTTACAGCCTGCAGCTTTATTGCTTTGCTTCACTCTCTTCCACTTTTAACACCAATAAGTCATTACACTACTATACACTGTGATATATTAGTGTCATTACTGTAGACAAATAAATCTATTGCTGAGGAGAGAGGCAGCCTTCAGCAGCCTCTACACTGCTCTCTACATTAGGTAAGATTCTACTACGTACAGTATATAACTCTGCAAAGCTTCACGTGATGAGGAGAGGTTGCTTTATGGCACAAAAGGTTTATATGGATCTTAAACTTCCAGTTGAAACCAGTGACAGACGGTTGGAGTGAAATGCTAATGGAAAAAAGGAACTCATCAACATACTGTTTGTGATACAATGCTATCAAGATTACGGGTAATGTGATATTTATAATCTCGAGACTCACTACAGTTAACAAAACCAAATCAGATCAGAGTCTGACTGAGTCACAGACAGACATTACTATTGGTTTCACTATGAAAATACTTTCTAACACTTCCAGTACTACTGAACATGTAGTTCTACATTATATATCAAAAGTATATGGACGCCCCTATCCACGTACTTCTGTGTACGTTCCGTCTCAATCTTGAAGCTAAATTATACAATGATATTCTGAGTGCACTTCCTACTTGATGGCAACAATTCGGGGAAAGGCTCTTTCCTGTTTCAACATGTTGCACAAAGAACATGGTTTCCCAAATTTTGTGTGAAAGAACTTGACTTGTGCAACCGACCCAATCCAACACCTGTGGGACGAACTGGAATGAGAGCCAAGACTTACTGCCCCAAATACAGCCGACCTCACTGACTCACCACTGACTTTGGGCTGTTATAGGAGCAAAACAAAAGCCATGGTTCAGGTGTCCATATACTTTTGGCCACGTAGTGTATACCAGCAGTCAGCATGATCATACAGCACATAATTTCAGATCTAAATCTAGACACAAATGCAGTATACAGTACACTGTGAATGTACAGTAGTGTGTGGAGGCAGCTCAGAAGGAATTTGTAACAAGCAGCTTGTAAAACTTAAAGGACCTGTTAGGCAAGGGTGTGACCAAGTTTCCCATGAGCTGTTTTTCAAGGAACAACTGTGCTGTTGTACTTTGACTCGCCAAGCACAGAGCAACGCAGGCACACCGAGACACAATAACTAAACTTGATACCAATCATGTGATAACGCACCAGAACCGGGAAAAGTAGAAAGAAAGTAGGTTTGGCGGCCAATTGTAGTTGTTTTGTTGAATGGGTGACGTCATTACAGAGCAGAGACTTGAGATTAGTGTGGGGATTAGTTCAGCTTAATGTCTGATAAAGGATTATTTGGGCACACTGGTGGAAAACAAAAAAAAAACTAACAACGAGCTAAAACAGACTTTGTAGGTCTTTAAAAGGAAATTCACCAATTCATACAGCAGCTGATAAACAGAACAGAGCTAATGACTGTTTCCCAAGTCAGATAGTGCATGAGGGTTTAAATACAGTCTGTTTGAAGCTTTTATTTAAAAGTAAAACATCCATAATGGAGGTTTTACTGTCCTGCGTCAGTTCAGTTCTTCTATTGTCCTCACCAGCAAGTACTTCAGCAGTGACTAACTGAATTGACAGCCAAACAGTGCAGCTGGGCTGGCGTCCAATACTGGTGGTGTGATGGAACAGTTTTACTAAAATCAAACCCATGCATGGAACAACCTACCACTCATGGATGGGTGGTGCTGCAGGCTAATCCATGCAGACAATGACCGCGTCACCACAAACCCTGAAATCAAAACTGTATGTCTGCTGTGCTGTCTGCTGAGCAGCCTCACCTGCGTTCTGTTCCACATCACAGAGGCCCTGGAGTGTCCCAGCTTGTTTCTGCACGGTCCCTTATCATAATGCCGCAGGAATATATCACCCTGCATTGACAAAACACACGTGCAGAGAGTGGAAATCAACAATTACACAGCATCTTCAGGCACAAGCTGGAGATAGTGAAACAGAGGCTGAGATGTTTTGAACTCATGAGCATAGTTTGAGTCTAAACAGGTGGCAAGGCAGTATAATAATGTTTCAACTGGGATCCAAAACCATGCATCACATCTGTGGGGTGGGTAGCAGCAAGACTCACATCCAGATTCTGCAGGCAGTACCAGCAGAAGGTGTGTTTGCAGCTCTTACACAGCATCTGTGCACAGCCCTGGTTCCTCTCTATGTAGATACCACACATAGGACACTGTTTGATGGGCATGTCAGAGTGGCTGTCGGAGCGGGCCCTGTGGATGGATGGAGAGAAAGACACAGGAGATATCAGGTATGCAGTTACTGGGGGGTCACGTTGTCGGAGTATGAAGCCATGAAGGCCTCAGGAGGCTCCAGGCAGAGTGTGAAGTCTTTATTTAGCAGCAGAGTGAAGGGTCAGCACTCACTTTGAGCTGGGTTAATTATTTTGGGAGGCAAAGGTATGAAGGAAGTATTCTCTAAGTACAATTCAGAGCCAGAGTTACTACTGACAACCTTGAAGTCATGAGGGTTTCAACAACCTGAGGAGTTTCCATTCTACAATTACAAAGAATTATACAACAGTTAGTTCCAACCAAGTAATTTGATTGGACGAGAGTCATTCCATGAGTCCTGATATAGAGTACAACCTTTAATCAGCGTTACATTAACGGTGGTTATCTTTCTTAGATTGTAACAAACTTTGCAAAGATGAAAATATTTCCAGAAATAACATTTGAATTAAATGATGTGTGGTCGTCAGAAGAGGATGAAGGGAAGAAGCCTGGATGCTTCAGCGCACTCCTGAGGTAACGTGTAGACAAAGCAGCAAGCTAGTGTGCAGGTCAGGAAAATGTTTGCATGTTGCTTAGTAACTGCTACTACTTTAAGTAACTACTTTTTTTGCTAGTTGCTAACATTACGTGTCTGCTTTCTCGCTGAGAACTGCTGCCTGATGATCATAAAACGAAAACGATGAGCTGAAAGTTGCTAAAACGGTTACAATTGAATGTTAGAGCCGAAGGGAACTGCAGAGTCAGGTGATGATTCTCTGGCTGTTACTACACATGATATCTTTCACATTAAAGCAGCTTTAAATTTGAGTTTAGTTCATCTGAGTATGACTCTTAGGAGATCTCTATATCGCTGCCCACATCTTCAAATGCATTCGGGATTAAGACAGATCTGGTGTGGTGCTCACTGAAGGCTGTTTCCCAGGATAGAAAAGCAACCAGGCTAATCAAATTTTTAAAAGCAGGAATAGGAATAGCAACATACTCCCACGGCAAAGCCAAAAAGTAGCTTGAGAATGTAGAGAAGCATGAATGAGACCAACAAACCTATACAGATTGTTCCAAGTCAATACACAGAAATAAAAACCAACATATTTATGTGAAAAATGTGAACTGCTCCTGGAAACTGCTACTGTAGCTACTGTGTCAGATGAAAATAATGAGGGTGGAACGGAAATGTGATTTGCCACAGACCAATTAGGAAATAACAACCACTCTCAGACAGAAAATGGTGAACAAGAACACACTGCCAAACTGAAATGACAAAGAAATGGCAGTTCTGTGTGATTATCAGGCTGGAAGGCTAGAGAAAGCAAAGCTCCTAAATGAACTGAATTAATAAATAAAATGTAAAAATCCTCTAAAATAATACATTTTTTATGGCTGATCAAAAACCTCTCAGGGGGAGTTGCACTAGGGGACTTTGGACTCTTAAGCATAGGTAATTGTAAAATCCTGGCTGCGGGCCTGGTACAATAACATTATGTCTGATGACTAAAGTTTATATCATGTTCTAACCTAAACCACTCTACCCACGTCTGCTCCATCCTCCACGGCACACTGCAGAGACCACGGCTTCACTACAGTGCATTGGCTCTGTCTGTACAGTGGACTAATTGGTTCATTGCACATCCTTCACCTCCCTTTGGCACAGAGACAATGGATTCCAATACAACTCAGTGACTCTCCAATGACATCAGTCCGTCTGGCAGAAGAGCAGTAATGTAACTTTACAACAGGGACTACACAGAGGGCACAGCTGAGGAATACTAGGCTATAAATCCTGAAATAAAGTTTGTATTCAGCTCCCAGCCTTCACTGGGAGACGGGGAACTACACATCCCTTATATGATCTATTCAATGTAAATATCCTGCCGCAATAGATAACATGGAAGGATGGCATTTTCCTCATAAAATAAAAAAAATGGAATTGAAAAGGTAATAAAAGGATAAATATATATCAGCTTTTGGAATTTAAATTGTTAATAAAACCAATTAATGCCATCATGAGTGAATTACCAGTCTGTTTACTGCACTAACAAGTGTTTCTTTGTAGACACCCTCAGTCTGAACTCTCATCCTGCTTTCAGCACAGTATCTTTTTCAAAGTGCAACTCAGACTGTGTGGCTGGAGGCAGTGGGCGGCTGACTAAACAGCGAGCTGACTGACCTGCTTTCATGAGAGGGAGAGGGTGACATCATGGGCTGGCGTTCGGGGCAGGTATGGCTGTCCTGCCAGGGCCCTCTGCACCCAGAGCAGAAGACAGTGTGACAGGTGAGGCAGGGCACAGCGGTGGGCTGGCCCTCGGTGCTTGGCTGCACTTTGCACACCGCCTGGCACTCAAGCACTGGGCACCAGGCTTTACTGGGGTCCAACTTCACTCCTGCAAAAAGCAAAGAGGGGATGTGAGTGCACATTTAAGAAGTAGGAGCAGAAGTATTACATACTAAATAAATGCATGTTTTGCAGCTCTCTATAGCAAGGTTATATTAGCTAATCTGACTTAGAGCAATCTCACAAAAAATAGCTTTTCATGTCCGGGATGTTTTTAAAACAAAAAGAATAAGTTCTAAAACAATTAGTCAATTACTCAATTATTCGATCAACAGAAAAATCACTGAACAAAAATTTGTCAAAATCACTTCTCAAACTAAAAAGCCTGACTGATTTGCTGGGTTTTTTTCTATTTTATATCATTTAAAATATTTTTGGGTTTTGGACTGTAGACAAGAAAATCAAGTCCCTTCAACCAACCAGAATATTGGACAAAATAAAATCAAGTTAATCAAATCAAAAGTGATCAAATCTGATGATAAGATATTTCAGTCTTGACCAAAGTGGTGGACAGACCAACCACTAGAACTGACATAGCAATCCCTAGCTAGCATGACTGAAAACAGAAATGATACCTAAATCTCACAAATACATTGTTCTCATTTCCAGCTGGCTATCTAAGAAGAAAAAATTCATCAATAAATCATATACATCTGACATTTCACAACCAAAACAAAAACCTGGAGTTTTAATGGGCTGACTCAGATCCACTTCACCAGTTCATATTTTCATTGTGAATCATAAGGGAAGGGAAACACTGTTTCAAAACAGCCTGTATTTTGTACTGTATTTATACTTCCAATATTATGAGTTTTATGATTTATGGTCTGAGTAAACAATAACTATTATTGGCTTTACAGCATATTGTTACTGTGCAACTACAAAAGAACAATTTACAAACTGAGGTTAGTTTACCTTGTAGCTATACTAAAGGCAAACTAACCTCAGTTTGCAATTTGTAAATGTCAACAGAAACCTATTATTCCAACACAGGACCATGAGGAAATTTGCCTTCACAAACATATCCACAATACAAGTGCAATCAGTTACACACAAGTCATACAATTTATTTGCAATCAAAAGTACTTCAAATTTATCAGAATAGTTAGTCTCTTAAAGCATTTGTTATTGAATTTCCTGAAGGTATTAAAGCCACAGTTTCAGTGACCTTCTGGATAATACTGGAGGTCCCACAGTATCTCAGGCATGTGAAGCTCTGTACTCTGTGGGGCTGCTTAGTCTAATGCCCCCAGCTGAAGTGTGACCTGAAATAGCCCCACACCCTGTCACCAGTCATCAGCATGCTAATACACCAATACCTACCCCTCTCAAACTTCACACGCTGATACAGCTCCACCTGATCAGCTGCAGCCAGGCTGGCTATCTGCAATCACAGAGCACAGAAAAAGGCTTTAGTCATCGATTGTTCAGTTAGAGCTCTGACAATTAATTTTGTGTGTATGCACTGACACAGAGATCACATGGGGTTAAAACTAACATTTTTGGATTTTCATACAGCTTCACTGCAGGTTTCCTGCATCTGTAAACCCTTATGGATAAATGCAAAAACATGGTAGTCAAGATTAAAAGGGGACTGTTTTGTGTACTTGCAATACTTCAAAGATCATCTAGGATCAACTGGTCACCTAGCAACTGCAAATTGCTGCATTACTAAGTCACGTCAGAGAAAAAAAGGGGTTGACTGCAACATTGCAAATTTTAAAAGCCAGTAAGACTGACAAAATTCTTTGTTTCTCACTCCAATGTTTTAAGATTAAAGTAAGTATTAAAACTGCTTGTAGTGTATGCTATTTTCCCTAAGCAATGCTTTATGTATGTCTAACACATGCTTAATTTCACGACTGCACAACACAGGATAAAAATTCTACAGTCAAAGCAATTCTATCTCAGACTGCGGGTCAGTGAGCGCTGTTCAAGAGGCTTTTCTAACAGTAAGAGTCTTAATGCAGAATTTCCATTCGTTTGTGAATCAGCAGTTCAGGTACTGTGTAGAAGCTACGGTGTCCAACAGCTCATAGTTTCACTTTCTGTCTGACTGCTCACATTACCACATGTCACTCTTCATTCTCAAAAACAAAGAGAAATTCCTCAGAAACGTTGTTAAGGCTGGCTAAACAGGATTTTCACAAAACTTCATCTTAGCTCATTCAGCCCACACAATTTTAAAAACATAAGGCTGAAAATCCAAGTTCATGATTTGGCTTGCAGAACTCTGGACTGGAAAAAAACTGGTTGAGCCAGCAACTAAGAAACTTAAGAAATATTCCTGTAGGTTTCCAATGAACGAAGCCCGAAAACGTTTGCCTCAAACAGGTTTTTTACAGCTTTTACAGCGTCTAAAGACTCCTTGCTTGTTTTGGTTTCACTCATGACCTACATATCACCGGTTTTAAACAGGACATACCTCAGAGTCCAGTAGCACGCCAGACTTTTGGCAGGCCATATCTGGGCAGGTGATGGGTGCCCCCCCACCCTCCATGATGGCCAGCTGAACATACTGCTGCAAACACTGGAGAGGGAGGAACAACACAGATACTGAATGGAACCAGTAGTTCTGTAATAGATCACAAATGTCATGCCCTTGCAAAAAGCAATATATCTAACAATATATCATAATCATACATTTTATTTTAACCATCCAGTCTGAACCAGAGAATCTGCTAATGACAGATGTAGTGAAATGCAAAGAAAACAAAGAGAAAATGAGCAAACAGGCCAAACTAAATGCCACGAGTTCCTCCTCAGCAATCACACGTCAAAAGTCATATGTTACCTCAGCCATGAAATATGGAAGACTAAGAGGAACTATGTAAACATTTCGCAAGGGCAGACAGTTTAGAGGAACAGAAAATAAGAACATTTAAATGTCACTTTTCTGTGGAAGGTGGAATAAATCTAACACAGAATTCTGCTAAATACAAACTTGTGCTTATCATGTGCTTTCTTATGAAACATGATGTGCTGTTCATCCAAAAACTGAACTGGATTTTTTTTTAAAACACACGAACAATAGCCTGTGGTCACGAACTAGACTGGAGGAGATATTTCAGGTTTATACAATGCAGTCCAACTGATAAGTAGGCCTTACAGTATCCAGTTCCCTCCTTCTTCCCCTGTGACACTGTGTATGTGTGTGTGTTTTATCTGTGTGACCTTGTGCATGCAACACTGACAACTTAGCTAGCATGGACAGAGTTTAACACCTGCCACTATCTGACAACCTTTCTGTGTCAGGGCATAACACCAACATCTCAGTTTCTATAGACCAAGCAGGCACATATTACAGTGTAGTAGCAGACCTCTATAATTCTGTAATAAATAATTATACAAATCATAGTCTTAAAAAGGTTCTCTCATAGTTGAAAACACTTTGAGGAGATATTTAAGAGTTCCAAAAAGTTGGTAAAGAAAAATTTCAACAGCTTGGATAAATCATAAACAATTTCCAAGAGCAATTCAAAGAAAACATATATATATAAGAGAAAGTCAGTCCTGTGCTGAAACGGCTTTGTTTCACTTCAACGTGCAAGATTTGGCAATAAAAGGATCTATTTTTAGATCTTGAAGCAGGAAGTGGTGCTGCAATAAAGAGGAGCATCCCATTCCAACTAATTTAAACGCTGGAGATTTGCCTAAATTACCCAAAAAAAAAAAGTCTGATCTTGGATCTTTTGTGAAATCTTCGCCGCCCACAGAGAGTGACTAAAAACATGAGCAATATAAGCGGAGGATAAAGGCTTCTTTCTCTAAATATAGCCTGGAGGATTCCCACTCTGTAACTAAGGTTAACAAGTTTTATTCCCATTGCAGCAAGTGTGTCCTTCACAGTTTAAGCAAACACTTAAATATTAGTATTATCTACTGTAAATGTCTTCAATGAACTGGACACGTCTCTACTCACTGCTGTGCAGAAGTTGCAGTTGCAGCTTTGCAGTTCCCTGGTGGCTGCAGATGGCTGCTCACTGAGGCACAGCTTGCAAAAGACCTCGGGCCCCGGCTGGGAGTCAGTGCCGGCCTCAGGGGTCCCGGGTGCCGAGTCCCTGGCTTCCTGGCTCAGGGAAGGACTCCTGCTGGCCATGAAGGGGCAAGGCAGGCGGGCAGGGAAGTACGGAGGAATCAGGCTGCTCCTAGCCCTTCTGCTAGGGACGGAGAGGAGCTACAGCCTCCATATTCCTGAAAACAGAAACAGCACATATCTGTTTGTTTCTTCCGCATAGGTGTAACACTGTGCTTCTCCTTTGTTACACTTTACATAACTTCTGACAGCACCGCACCTTGTTTCTGGAACCTGTCATTCATTCTGGTAACTGGTATAAGAACTGTGATGACTTCACTTGTTCCTGAAGCAATACATTTCCTTTGTCTTGTTGCCTGAGAGACAAATAAGTCATTGTTTAAAGCTGCGTGGTGCATGAAGCAAAACATAATTATGTGTAATTCCTGCAGTAATAGTGATTACTCATCATGTCTGTTGTTACTAAATAAATGGAGCCATATTTAAGGCCAAAGTCCAAGGTTTGTGTTTACTGTGTCTACAGTTATTGACAAGCTCCTCGATCATTCTGACAGGAAGAATTGATCGTCAATCACTTTTAGAAACATGGTAAATACAGACTGATGGAGCTACAGTATTGTTCCGCATGTAATGTCAAAAATACAGGGGGAGAAGGATGGAAAAGAGGGAAATCAACTATAAAATGAATAGCTTTAAAAACCTTTTGGCTAAAATTAACTGATTAATGACAGGAAACAGAGATTAACGACGATAGCATGCTATAAGCTACATTTCTGAACATTTCAAAGTTTCTAATGTGCAGCTCTTGCAGAGAAATGACACAAAACTAAAGGAAAGGAAAATTTGTAAAATATGTGTTTTAATGTGAAATTACCCATTTAACAGGACTAAGAATCATCCTGTGAGACAGCAGACAGCAGTGCTTTGAGATAAACGTCAGTAACATGCTCACAATAATGCTAATGTTTACCATGTTCACCATCTTAGCTTAGTGTGTTAGCATGCTATCATTTGCCACATACAGTAAACACTACAGGGGAGTGATGTTAGCGAGTAATTAAACGAGTAGTTTTGCAGGTATTTGGTCATAAACCAAAGTACTGGAAATACATGAATTTTGACCAGATATGAGTTTGAGTATTTGATGTAAAACAGATATGATATTTACCATCCTAGTTTATTGTGTTAGCATGCTTACATTGGTAGACGTTAACAGGGCAAGATGGAAAGTCAAAGGATCACCAAAGTTATTACAATTCACCCTGAGGGGAACATACTCTGTACAAATTTCATGGCAATCCATTCAGTTGTTGAGAAATTTCTCTAAAAATCACGATGTCAACCCTCATATTGGTGCAAGGGCAAAGGTCAGGAGATCACCAGTCTTTGGGATTCGTCCTCTTGGGAACAAGAAAATAGACACAAACTCTTGTGACAATCTTGTGCCAATAGTTCAGATATATCAGTCTGGATCAAAGTAGTGGACCAACCAACCAACAGACTGACATTGCCATCCATGTTGCTAGACTGATTCAAAAAATACTAAAATGGTGTATTACACAAAAACGGTTTAATTACATCATCAAGCATAAATTTAATCTGTGACTTCCACCTTTAGTTATCAGACATTTGTACTAGTTACATATTTTGGGACAGCGGAACCAGAGGTGGGTGGATAATAAAGGCCTAATCTGGTGTTTAAGGGAACTGAAGTCACCAAACCTAAAAAAATCATCCCTTTGGTTGATTTGGCTTCCCAATCCCAAAAAGCATGAGAAATAATAACACCATAATCTGGGATTTGTGATTAATCCTGTAGATAACAGCGGTTAGACACAGAACAGGGTCACACAGGAAACAGTGGCGTTAAAAACACACTCTGCAGCCTAAGCGGCTGTTGAAATCACATATTATCCCACACACAATGTTCTCTATTTCAGCAGGCTGTTAAAGCTGGCAGGAAACTTCGGAGCAGTTCAGTCGATACAGCCACCGCCACCACCAGTGTCCTAAATTTTTCAGTGAGTGCTCTTTTATTGTGTACTATTGATCCCTGATGGCATACATGCAGATCAGTGATGGTGGAGCTCATGGAGCACGTTGGTATTTCTGCACTGTCATGGGGTATCCTGCACCGCTTTCAGACAGGCGCGCCGAGCGGGCAGCAGCACGTCATCCCACAATGCTGTCAGCCTGTCCTGTCCTGCACAACCAGCTCCATGGTCTCACAGGGGAAAATAACAGGTTTCTTGTCAGCTAGCTTTGCTGTGTGGAAACTCCTATGTGTTTAATAGCAGGGTGAAGCCTGTCATTACAGAACAACTTTAAAGTTTGGAGGAACTTGAGATTACCTGGGTAGCTATCTTTCAATAGATGAGGCTGATAGAAGTGAGCTGAATGTGTCATCCAACTTTGATATGACAGATATTAAGCAGTTTAATTGATCATTTATGATTATTTTATTCTAATGACACATAATGATCAGAATTAATACTTTACTGAATGTTTGCACGTGGCACTACATTTAAATATATTAAATGTCAGTAAAATGCTGACAAACAAAATCTTATCTTAAGACCTCACTATCAATGCTGGCCTTGAAAAGCCCATCCTGACTGCAGTCCTTCCACTGAGAAGCAATCAAACAGAGAATAAGAGCCTGCATTCAAACTTGAATCTTCACTGTTAGAGCAATTCATTAATCAAAACGGCCTTGTGTGCAAACAGTTCCTTTTAGGTGTGGAGCTGACCATTCAGTGATTAGCAGTCCCCATGAATCAAGGCTTAGATGGCATTCCTGCCATGGGTTTGATGGGGGATCAAAGCATCATTGTTGGCCAGAGAGGCAGAGATGGAAAACCAGATCTGCCTGGTGAAAAGCTGCTGCTGCCTCTACACAGACTGCCACTGTGCTGGAGAGGAGGCAGCTGGGCAGTGGGCTCAGGGAGTGTGTAGCAGCATTTATATGGCATCATTCACACAGCTGCAATCATGCTCCGGTCTGTGTCTCTGTAGATTTCTGGCCCAATAAGCTGTGTGCTTTTGGGAGTGAGTCTAAAACAAGAGCAGATAAAGCTGCACTGTATGAAGAAAATAAATTGTTTGGAAAATGCAAACCTTCATTTAGTGTACAGCAGTTTTACCAGAATAACTGTGGAGGATACTGAACTGGACAGATGTGATTTAAAGGTATTATCCTCAATTCCTAAAAGGACAGTAGTTTGCTTTAAGTGCATATTTTTGGTACCTGAAGTATCTTCATGTTAGCATGACAAGGTACAGTGTAATATCTAATGTATTACAGTGCATTCAACCAGACCACACATGAAACCTGACGCATCCCTCTCAAGGTTGCATACTCCCATAGGTCAAAACTCAAATACTGACGCATTTATTACACTATATCACAAACGGCCTCGGTAAAAGATGTTCCACGAGCTGCAGACAAAAGCCATATGAGCAGAGCAGAGAGAGGGGGGCACCTACCTTTCTTGTGGACCACTGGGTGTAGGAGCTGCCCAAGTCCAGATCCACAGCCGCAGTGCTCCTATTACTGTGGCACAGACACATGTGTTGATACAGTCTGCTGTTACAGTAACCTCTGCTGTCACTGCTGCCGGACTCCGCGTTTCTCACACCCACACCGGGCTTAAAGAGAAACTAAAAACATGTTGAGACGTCCTGCTCGCTGCTGTCTGCTCCGTGTGTGTGTGTGTGTGTGTGTATATATATGTGTGTGTGTGTGTGTGCGTGTGTGTGTGTGTGTGTGTGTGTGTGTGTGTGTGTGTGTGTGTGTGTGTGTGTGTGTGTGTGTCAGCTCTGCTCTTCTGTTTTGTTTCCATCCAGGAAGCTGTGCTGCTCTCCACAGATTTCCACTCTTGACTGCTCCTGCTGGTTATTTCACTGAACTCGTGCTGCTTTCAGGGGCAGTCGGAAAAATGGATGTCACACGTGTGGTAGGTTGGCGCCCTCTGCGTTCAGTTCTGGTATAGCATTCTTACTTAACATCATTTGTGATAGGATGATTAATCTTGATATAGAATTAGATATAATTAGTTAGTAACTCTATTATGCCAATTTGATACTTTTGGTTGGTTTGCATTTGGGGAAACAAAGCTATAAAAGTGAGGTTGATATTTTGTGGTTGCTGGACATTCAATTTAACAAAACAAAGTTATACCTACATTTACAAGGGACTGACAGTCAAGTTTCATATATAGCCTGGTAACTCTAAAGCTGTTATTTTTGGAACTTTACTCATCATATTGACTTCCTGTTTACAGTTGATTACGCTACAGAGGTTTCATAAACAATCACAGCAACTGCATCATCAGTGACAACACTCTCCATTACACCACTGCAGAGATTACCATGTTTAATGCAGCACCTAAAATCTAAAAGTGACCTTAATTGAACATGAGTTAGAGAAACAAAGAGACTGTATTATGTTCAGCCAACAGCTGTTTAGTTACTTTGGCAATCCCCACTCTATCAAAGTTTTTCCAGTGTTAACACTTTGCAGACCTGTTGAGCAGTGGGAAAGTAACACAAGTTACGCAAGTACTGTACAATTTTTAAGATACTGTACTGCTACTTTATTCTTCTACCTCACTTCATGTCTGTGTGCGGAGTGTACATTTTCCTCCACTGCATTTATCTGACAGCCATAGTCACTAGTTACTTTTAAAATTAAGATTTTACATCAAAAAGCATAGACACATATAAAATGTAATATGAAACTCCTTGAAGATGTCTGAGTTGTTAGCAGCTCGACCAAAGAGACATTTCACTTTTATATAATTGTTTGAGGCACAAAGAAAAGCAAATATTAGAGAAAAATCACAAAATATAACACATAACACAAATTCATGTAGTAGCGGCAGTAACTTTGTTTTTTTTCCCTCCCCTATTAACCATCTCACAACTATGCTACTATGTTAACATTAGGTTGGTCTAAACTACCTACTTTAAAGTGAGTTAAAAGTAGCTCCACCTTGTCCAGCTACAGCAGGTTAATGCTAATTATACACTGATGCATTAATATTAATGCAATAATGTAATACATGATAACCAGGTGCCAAGCACTTTTACTTTTAATACTTCAAGTGCACTTTGCAGAGAATACTTAGGCTATGTACCTTTACTTAAACTTAACTTTGACTGCAAGACTTTTATTTGAGGTATTTTTACATGATTGTATTAGTACTGTTACTTAATTGAGAGGTGAAATTAGCTAATCCTGTTGCTTGACCTTTTAATTGAATGACATCTTTGTTGTTTGCACATAGAGGTGATTACGTTTAGCCAAAAGTTCAGTAGGAATAAGAGTGAGAAAAATTTGGATATTTAATATTTATTTACAGGCAGTATGAAGGAGGACTTGTCAATTCATGAGTTTTTACAGTGGTGTTTATAAGTTCCCAAGTAATGCCCAATCCCTCATTTATGTGCTTTTACAATGTTCCTAATGGTTCTTTCTTATCTTAGTTATTATGTTTTAGACACTAACAAGTACACAGCATATTGTAGTGTTTTCATAGTCTGCCACACTTAAGAGTCTTATTTTGGGAAACATCTCTTTTATACCTACTAGAGAACCTCCCCAGAGATTCAACTCTCCTATTTATGGTCCATATACGGTGTCAACAAATTCCAACAGCATGCACACGGTTACCACTGCTTCACTGGAATTGCAACATGCAACATACTGAAACTAGGCTGTTTACAATATAAATGTTTTCTTGCTATTATTATTATTATGTATTATATTATATTATATTATATTATATTATATTATATTATATTATATTATATTATAATTATTAAATTAATCGAGGCCATTACATGGCATGTGTCAATATTGAAATTTTGCCATCATAACATTTCTTCAAAACAATCAAATGTCTAAGGTTTCACTATTATTCTCAAGCAGGCTTTGTAGACTTGTGTTACTACAATACCTACTTGCTTGGCAGTGGCATGATTTCCTCCTTTTCATTCAGATACTTCAGTGCAAAACAGATCTGGTCCATCTTTTTTTCCAACAGAAAACAGCATGTACTTTTGCTTGTATGCATTTGTTTAATAAACCCCAACTGTATTTAAATGTCCCTAAACTTGGCGTTAGGAGTTTACCAGGTGCGGTGAAGGCGTTAGTGGAGCTGGGGGAGAAACTGCAGCAAGAAAAAAAAATGTTTTTGTCCAAACATAAGAAATCATAGTTTGGAACTAAAATAATTCAACATTTTGTGCACACTGCAATATACTCTATAGTAACCAGTCTCGTGAACCCCTGCTATTAGGCTACACAGTTTTTCATACATGTACACGCAAAGTATCACGCAATAATGTCATATTGCTACTCATACTTTTCAGCCCAAACTGTTTTTAAACACAAAAGAGAAACCAAACCGATGGAAACCCCAAGTCAAAGTGCGCATGCGCCATGTTGGACAGGGAGTTTTCTGAGAAATCTTTATCAGTCGGTGTTGGTCGCTTTTAGCATGATAATATCTCTGCCACTCGACTGATGGACCGCTCTCACTCTCTGCCTCCTTTTAATAACAGCACTTTCACAGCAATGAAAGAAATAACGCCACTGAATCAGGTGAGATTTTATTTCTTATAATAACATTTTAGAGTGGAATAATGTAGGTCTGCCTATATCTCTATGTCAATTTACATACACGTCTTTCATCTCGCTAATATTTATGTATAGAATAGGCACACACACACTAGAGTACATTTTTGCAAGGGGAAAGATAAATATTGTAAATCCAGTTTGGGTTTGCTATAAAACTTTTGGCTCCAGAGCACCCTCATTTCCGTGTTGTGAGTTGAGGGCAAGAGGACAAAAGTTCCCCTGGTGGTAAGAGAAATTTCCTTTGACCTAAAAAAACAGCCCTGAGCAGGAAGTTTGTTGTTTGTTGTTTGTTGTGGTTTGTATAAAAATCCCACCTATAGTAGAAGATATTATAGACAGTGTGTGAAATCTTAGAGTAAAGACGACCCTCCTCTGTCTCTCTCCTCCAGGTGATGACTTTCAAAGCCTTCAACATGCAAAGAGTCATCCAGGTGGTGCAGAGGGTGGCGCAGAAGAGCTGCAGAAGAGCCTGTCAGCTGTTCTGTTGCCCATTAGACATTCTGTGGTGTCAAAAGGTCACATGTTGCTCAGGTAACATATTTTTATAATATGAATTTTATAATTCATTAATCATTACTTCTTCTGCTGTCATGTCTTGTTCAGGTGTTTTTTCAGATGGCATCTGAGTGTTACACACTGTCTTTGTTTGTTAACATGATACACACGTAATCTGCACTATATATATTTTAGTATTGTCTTGAACACCAGCAGCATGCATGCCAAAATGTATCATTAGTAGAAATGTAACTTCACGTATCTCACTGTCTTTTTTTTAAAGCTCAGAACCATCAGCTCACAGAGGATAAAACTACACAGGGTAACTTCTACTTTTTATATTAGATTTCTGTTAATACTGACAACCTCACATCTTTTTGTTTAATGCTCTGTTGCTCTTATTTTTCTTACATCTCAATGGAAATTTTTTTTCTGATTCTTATTTTCCTCACTAGTCTTTGGGCACAGCCTTAGGAGCATGTCAAACTGCATTTGACTACATATATTGCTCAAATAAACTCTTAATTTTTTTAGCCATTTAAATAAGGATAACATGAACTACTGTATAACTGCATTTGTCAACAGCACATACGTCATAAAATAATCACTTTCTTTGTTTGTGAAACAAACTTTTTCCATATGTTCAGTAAGTTTGTCATCATGACTCATCTCTGCTCTTACATCACTCTGGAACAACAACTTCCCATTCTCACATTCTCTTCCCTTTTCCCCTCTCTCTCCCTCGCCTCCTGTTAACCAGTGGCTCTCCGGAGTCCGCCGTCGACCATTTTAATTGTGAACATCAGCAACTCTACACTGATCGACTGCGTCATCGGGAACGACACCTATCCATCTGCAGTGGCAGAAAGCCAGCCGCTAATGCAAGACTCTCGGCTCCACATGCACGGTGGGTAACAGCCGAACCAATTTAACAGCATATTTCAATGCAGTAAAACACATTGAGCTGCAAATTAAATTGTGCTCTGTTGTTTCATTTTCATTTTTCTAGTAGTTGTACTCAAACTGTGTTCATGAGAATAAAAACATCTTATTTGTTCCTGTGCTACAGATCAGATGAGGTCCAGCTACAGCCATGGGCAGCAGGGGGCAGCACGGACCTCTCCTCCTCCTCCTCCTCCTCCTCCTCCTCTCTATCCTCTTCCACCAGAGGAGCCTCCGAGCATCAGCATCCACGGCTCGCATCTCAACTGTGTCATCATCGGAGACAACAACTACATGCACGCTGAGCAGATCCACCCGACTGAAACTGAAGAGCCACGGCTGTGAGGCTCCGCTGATACACACACACACACACACACACACACACGCATGCATGCATGCACACACAAACACACATACACACACATATTACACATTCACAGAAACACCATCGTCTTTGGGATGATGAGAATGTAAATTCAGTATTAGGAGAATAATTTTGAGTTGTCAGTCTGTCTCCGACAGTCTTTTATTTTCTACCATTTCTATCATTTTATCTGTCTATAAAATGTCAGAAAATATTAAAACAAAGGTCCATCACAGTTTCTCAGAACTCAGCGTGACAAATTCACAATACTTGTTTTGTCTGATCAGCTGTTGGAAGCTCACAGATGTACAGTTTAATGTCAAAAAAGCAGCTAATATTGACATTTAGGAAGCTGGAACCAGAGAATCTTTGGCTTCTTTGGCTTCTTATTTTTTACACTTGGAGTGACGTCACTTTTATGGTCCAGTAGGATTTCTTTTTTTTGCTTTGGTTTTGAAAGTGGTTTCAGGCCATAGTTCATTAGTTGTTAAAGTGTTATAAGTTGTGAGTTCCAGTATGCAAAAACAAACGTCAGCTCCCCACACCTTATTAAAAAATAATATCTGCTTCCTGTTTTGCAATGCCAGGTCTTCTGCTCCTCCGTCAGACATAAAGTTGGGAGCAGTGGGAAATTTCTCACATAGATGTGACTTTCTAATGAGTCATCTCTTATGACTAGTTGATCTTTCTGTAATGTATGTCCGCTGGTCTGATATCCTGACTGATGTACTTTGTTTGGTAGGTAGCTTGCTGTAGGATTCATGAATTGTATATTGTGTAATTTCATAGACAAACAGTATTGAAATATTGTGACTAAAATCCTTATCAAGTTAAGATAAAGGTGTTGACTTATGTTAAAATGTATGGCCTATGGTCACTAACAGTAGACTACTGAGTAGTGTTCATTGCTGGAAGTCATTTTGTACATTCTTATGTTTGATATTATTTAATCTTATAAAATAACTGTTAGATCTTTGTGTTCAGGTTATACTGTACACAGAGGTCAAACAGTCAATATGCTGCCAATGTGTGTGTCTGCTAATATGCTCACATGATGATATGATATTCTCCATGTAACCTTTACGCAGCATACTTCTTCTCCTTTTGTTCTGCAATGTTGTATGAACGGAGTTTTTGATTTTGTTGTTGTATTTTGTTGCATGTTTGAAATGACCAAACATGATTAACATATATTTTAAATAAAGAACAAAGAAGATATAGAGGCATTGTTCAGGAATTGTATTTCTGTTTATTGTTATTAAATTATTCTATGTATAATAAATGCTATACATTATTTCAATGTCAAGAAACAGTGTTGGAAAAAACTCATTTTTTCTTTTTCTTCTTTCCTTCTTTCTTCTTCTTGCCTTTCTTGTTGTCCTCTGCTTTTTTAAAACTGCCAAGGCCTTTGCGGACCATGCAGCCTCTCCACCAGGCCTGCAGCTGCAGGGTCAAAGGTCACAGGCCAGGGTTTAGAATTAGGGATCAGTACAGTAAACAACCAGGAAAGGGGATCTGATAGACCATGATGGTAAGGCTGATGGATCTGGGCTCTGATTGGATATTGTTACCTTGATAGCAGATCTGGCCAATGCCTGCTGTTGGCGCAGTTTCTCCTGCTCCTCCCTGTCCTCCATCACCACTTGCTCCATCTCCCTGAACTGAACACAAATCAGAATCTAATTAACAATCATCTAATGTGTGACTGAGTGCTCTGTTCAGCATCAGAAGCTGTTCGATGTGTCATGCTCAGCCCTGCGAGCTGCTCACCTTCCTCCTCATATCTGACAGTTTGTCCAAGTTCACAGTTCTTTTGCAGCGCACACTGTTGAGCTGCTGCTCCTTCTCCTGCAGCATCTGCTTTGTGCGCTGCTGCCACTGCTGCAGCTGCTGCTGCAACTCCTGATCAACAGTTACAACAAAATTAGATACTGCTGCAGCACTTGATGAATATTATTTGAATTATATTATAATTAAAATTTAAAAAACAACTGATTGAATGGCAGCAGCTACTACAAAACACAACCAACAACTTCAACAATACCAGTAAACAATAGTGGTATTGAAACCACAAGGGGCTGTTGCAGTTTTCTAAGAATCTGAATAGCTTGGTACAGGTTCAGCTAAACTGAAACTTCCTGGGGTTTAACACAGAGCTGTATAATGAGTTGAATCTGACTGCTCTGCAAAAATGAACAGAGGTTCAGCAATCTTCCAGCAAAGGCAGGGAAAAAGAAGTAAGATGCGAACAATGAAGGTTCCAAATTGTTCAAAAATGTTTCATAAGGAACAAAATCAATTCAACATGTTTGTTACACCACAAGGATATGGACAATGCTCACAAATGCTGAATGTAAACATAACTTCTTTTTTGAAAACTCCATGGGGCACCTTTGATACCCCATCAGGGTTAAGGGTAGAAACCACATGTGTATCTGATCAAGAGAAATACATATGTGATCTTGTTTTCTGTCATATATAGCCTCAGGTGAAAAACAGTGACTCACTTGTCTATGACAGACAAACAAATCCTCATGTCTTTAGGACATGGTAGTTGGTATGAGGGGTTGGATTATCAGTATTCTTCTGTGTGGCATCCATAATGAACTTCATATTTAAATGGATTGAAATGAATACATAATTGCATATGCAATTGTTTAAGTGGTGGGTGGGTATGATACCATAAAGAAAGCAAACATTATTATATGTATGTGATGTTATATACACAGTATAGATTTATTAGAGTTTCTATAGTTATTCTTTTGCACTTGTCTTTTATACATCCTGTGGTCAGTTGTAAAAAAAAGCCTCAGTGAATCCATGTGCGCAGCAGGTACAGTGACCTCTGAACCACAGCTTCTGAGAACAGAGCAATAGGTTGAGGTGTTCATGTATGTTTGTTTTTTATTTAAACACATCCTAAACCTTAAACTTTAGCTAACAGCTGACAGAGCAACTGCCTCCAAAAGCAACGATTACATAATAGCATACAATAATCTGATGTTATTAGTCATGTAAAGTTACCTCATGTTGATTTTGCAGGAATTTATGTGACTCCTCATGAACTCTGACCTCCTCTTTCAGCTGTTTCTGTAGAAGCTGGCAAAGAGATAAATGAAGACATGACTTGGACTACAGTTAAACTAAGGAAAGTGTAAGAGCAGTGGTCATCTGCTTATTTTAGACCACGCTAAGAGAGGTACATATCCTCTGAGCAGATGGGGACCAGAGATTAGGATGGAGGTCATAGCAGCATCCATTTCTGTGGGGTAGATGGGTAGGTGGCATTTACCCAGACTGAATAGATGGACTACAGGACTCACCTCTAGCTGGTCCCCCAGCTGTTTCTCACTCTGGCTGCTCTCTTTTTGTGTGAGTTGGAGCTGTAGCTCAGAGTTTTTCTCCAAAATCATCTTCCTGTGAGCCATCTGAGCCGACTGCTGATTCACCTTACGTGTCAGCTCTCTGGCGACCTCTTTCAAGTCCTGAGGGGAAAGTGCTGAAAGTGTTGGACCCCTTGGACTTTCAAAGACCTGTACACTAAAATGTTTGATTTTTTTTTTCTCAAATAAAGCATGACAACAGATTCTCACTCACCTCTAGTTTCTCAGTTTTCTGTTTGATCTCCTCTTGTTGTCTCAGTATATTTTGCTCTCTCTGCTTCAGCGCTCTCTTTGCCTCTCTTGGTGGAGAGACACTTGGATTATTATTATTATACAACCCAGACTTCATCCTTTCTTTCTTTTTCTCTTCTTCCACCCTTTTTTCTTCTACAGTGTAACACGAAATCACACCACATCTTGTTCAGAAATTTACTTTTCTAGTTAACTATTATTTACAGTTACAATTACAGTTAAGATTAGTATCATAAGTATGGTTTACAAATGATGCAGTGATAAACCTTTGCATTTTCTCAGCCTTCTTCTTCTGCTCCACTTCCTCCACAACCTGCAGCAGACAGCTGAAACTTTGCTTCTCCTCCAGCTCCAAATGCAGCTTGAAAACATGCTGCCAGATGTGTTGACTGCAGAGAGAGACACACAGACAAAATTAGGCAGAAAAGAGGTTGATGCAGCATAATGTTTGTTTGTCTGCACTACTCACCAGTCTCTTCTCAGCTTGGTCAGCCTGGTTCTCTCCTACACACACACAGTAATAGTAAAACATTATTCAAGTCTATTTATTCATCAGGTTACTTCATGAAATGTAGAATAACGTGGCATAGAACCATTCAGATTAAAGTAGCAGACAGATGTTCCTCTGGACTGTGAACATGACAAACACAGTGAAGCTCACTTGTCCCCCTGCAGTGCCTTGCTCCCTGCTGATCTGCACAGTCAGACTATGTCCCAGTATGTCCAACTGGTCTAAACAGTCCTCCAGTACAGCTGCCAGTCTGAGACTCTGAATGTGGGATAAAGACATCCTGTGGAGAATGTGGGGCATAACAGAGAGTTTATTAAAATACCAGCGTGTTTAACACAAACATGTACCATATATTACAAGTTGGTTCTATCCCAAAACTCGAAAACAATGCCGAATTTACCAAAAGATGACAAATAAATCCATTAGTTTTCACACAGCAAGTACTTTCATCGATCATCAGGTTAGCATCACAGTAAGCGGTATTTACAATGGTGTCTGGTGCAGCTAACAGTTAAATGTAGCATGTTGCTAGCTAACTTTCTGTTGTTTCAATGGTGGGAAAAGACGATATCAGCTGTAACAGATAAAAACTTAGTTACCTTCTTCAGTTCCCTCCGTAACAGCAACTCTCACTCTTGGTCAATAACAGTTAATCCTTCAAAAGAAACTACTTTGTTTTTGTTAAATAAAAAACATAACAGTCGACAGTTTGCAAGTTGACATGTCACTATGGTAACGTTTGACAGCACCGAATCGTTTTTTTCGAGCAACTTTATTGATAACAGCTGCATTTTCTACTCGGTTTGTTTGCAGATAGTGGTAGATTGATTGATTGTTTCTGCTGACACCCAAGCTGTCTGAATGAGTTGGGCTTTACCTATGACTGCGCCATAACACACAGAACAAATATAATTTCCTCTGAGGCTGGAGGAAAAAGATAAATGCAGTCCCCAGGTTAGTTTTTTTCAAAGTCTTTAATGTTTGGTGTTTTTACTCTAACGTTGGCTTTGCTTATGTTTTCCTTCTTCACCTGATCAGAGATATCCCAGTTCTGCAATAAGTAAAACATCTTACATCATGATTTTTATATTCAGATTATCTGAATACATGCTTTTCATCTCACTTCCAATTGTTTTCCTTGCAGTGCTGCAGTTAAAAGACAGCAAGTGCACCTTTGAATCCTGCTTCCTTTGTAGTATGATCAGTTAGCTGAATTATGTTGATATACTAAGTTCTTTTACTTCAGATAAATGTGACACCTATCACTCAGTGATGAATTACAACTGTCACCTTTACCCAGACTCACTGTGTATTACAGTATGTGGCCTCAGATCAACTCCAGGTCTCCAGCACCTGGTAAATTAGAGGTATTGTCTATAGCGCCACTCCAGGGTCTCAGTCTGGATCCAGCCCTGATTTAAAGACCTCCACCAGCACCATCCTGATCTGTCTGGAGGAAAATCAGAAGCCATTCCAAGTGAATGAAAATCATTTTTGCATATTTTTAATGAAAGACAAAGAATATAGAGAGACATTGGGCAGGTATCTCATTTCTGTTTATTGTTGTAGTCATTATTTCTTGCAAACTCTGCAGGGAGTTACAGCTTGTAGGTAATACAGACTGAAGGTACAAGCTACACTGTAGTACATGCATGATGCTGCCAGTCACACTGTGAGGTTTTTTCTGTGGACTACTCCCCTTCATTCGGAGCTGAAACACACTGTCCCGGGATAGTTTCCCTCTCAGACACACAGATCTACAGCAGTCCCACTGTCAAGATATCATCAAAGCAACACACACCTGATCTACAAATAACCCGTTAGAAACAAAGTATGTACAGAAACAGTAGATGACTGTTCAACATGATTGTGACCATAAAAGGCAATTTTTAAGGCAGAAATATCTTGGGAGGAAGATGAGGAATGTGATGAAGAATAAATAGACCCAGGCCAATGAGACTGTGAATGATGAAGGGAAACCGTGAAGGCATTACATTAAGACTTGTTGTATGTGTTAAACATATGTTTTTTTAACTGTACATTAGTACAAAAACATCAAATGGGTTTTAGTATTACAAGTCAGGAATCTACTAAAGGAGTGAAGGAGTTAACATATGGGCGACTATATATCTATCAATGTAAAGGTACATTTAAAAAATATGGAGATATTTCATGCAAATTATTAAAAGGCAAGTCTGAAATATCCTTGACATGGTACTGTAGGTATTACTGATTTTATGCCTGCTTCTGTGCACATCTGACAGACATGAATGAAAAATAATTGTTACAAATGAACATGGTTGGTATGGTTAGTCAAGATAAGTGCTTCAAAGGCCATGAAAACCTTCTTTCTCAATCAGCCACTTACTACTTTGGTTGGGATCCTACATGAACACAGTGTTTGGTTATTTCTGTGTTTTTTTGTCATTTTGTTTTGTGCTTCTTTTGGTTTGAAGTGGACGGGGCTCTGTTGGAAACAGGTGATGTCACGTACTTTGATGCACCAATGAGGATTCAGCAACATATATCTGATGACAGTCATAGGGTTGTTTGCTTAAAGGGGACCTCCACTTGTTTTACACGTGAAGTTATGGGGAGCACTACTCATCTGATGATGTCATCAGGGTCTTTATATAGGGATCATGCATCAACAAATCACCTTAATGTCGCTGTCACTCAAATGTGATCAAATCACAACATACCACACCCACATAGTCCTGGTGATTAGATTAGAGTGAGTACATTAGCTGAGGGTGTTTATATATTTTCTTTTAAACAAACTTTGACTTTTAGCATTGCTTATATAGGCTTTTATATTCGATTTTAATGAGAAATTTCATCTGATTTGGAACCACATTTTCAGGGGCTTTGATAAGCAGGGGTTGGTGCAGTTTGTCATTTTGTTGTAAGTTCACTGCACACATCAAGGGGAAAGACTTACAGATGAGAAGTTATTATTTGGCACTAAATCTGCATGTAACAGACGATGTTTTTAAACATGATGCAAAAAAACAGATGAGATGAGGAAACAAAGACAACGCTTGCTTAAGATGAAACTGGGGTACAGCCTCATTAAGCATCGTAAGCAAAATAAAACTAAGGGTGACTTTTTATCGAACAATCATTTACTGTGCACACCCCTATGTAAAAAAGAAAATTTAAACCTTTACAAAACCTATAGTTTAATATTCCATAGTTTCTGTTGTAAACTGAGTGTCACCGTCAGTTTACAGCGTCATCTCTCTGTAGTCCTCGTGTCTCCTGCAGCGTCAAACACACCACATCAGTCCTTCTTCACTCTTGTGCTTATTGATTTGAATGTGAGTTGAGCTGGACCATGCTTTTGTGCCAGCAGAGAGAGAGAGGCGGGGGTTGGGGTCAGTCCACTTTGAGGCATTATTCTTGTCTCTTTAGTCAAAAGTCTGTGGCCAGAGATTAAAGGATCATCTATGACACCATAAAAAAAAGCAGAGGAGGAGCTGTACACGATGATCAGGACACAGCAACAAAACTACACTGTCCACGACCGAGGTTCACGTCAGCCATCCTGACAGCTTTATCTGACTGAAGTATACATGTACAGTAAGATCAGATCCAGTGAGTTTTTCTAATTGTGCAATTGGAGCTGAAAGCAGCCAGACAGACAGGGAGAGAAAGAGAGCGAGAGAGAGAGAGAGAGTTTCAGATTTCGTTGATTGTTCGTTCGGAGGGCCGGTAGTCCTCCCTTCCTTTAGGGGAGGACAAGTAGAAGGATTGGGTTTTGCGTTTTAAGCGAGCTCTCTTGGTGGCCAGTGACAGACTGTGCTTGCTGGAGGCAATAATGTCAGAGATGAACTTCTTACAGTCCACACACACCTCCATGCTGGCCCAGTCCTCTGTCAGCTCTGGGGGAAGCTCCAGTTCTTCATGAGACTTTAAAGAGCCGTGCTTTGAAAACCTATACAGAACAGAAACAGGAGGGGAAACAGAATAAATCAGTCAGACAGTGGTTTTATATTTTGTTTTTGTACATATTGTATTTTGTCTTAGTTTTCAAACCATCCAGTGTGTGGTCATGGGTAACCCAGACTACTGTTTGACTCATCAGAAACAAATGACTTACAGGGTCATACATAGTATGTTCTCACTAAACTGAAGTGATATGTAGAGGTACCACTACTGTACACTACATACCACTGTAGTATATTTGGTTTTGAGATATGTCCACTTCAGTACAAAGTGAATGAAATCTCTGTTGTTGGGCTCACAGCATTAAATTATTAAAATGTAATGGTTGTTTTACCAGCTCAACTCCACATACATTTATAACTGCTATCTGATTCTTAAGTGGCCAATCAGAATCAGCACCTGAGTTCCTATTGTGATAATAGCACTGTTCATCCACTAGATGTCAGTGACAGTGTGCTGATAGTCCAAAGATACACGCTGGATGAGGAGGGACAGGTTGTACTCAAACAGCAGCAGTCCTGGCTGAGGACTTTCACCTTTTCTGTGTGTTTTAGTAGTTTCTGCTCAGTTTTTGTGTATTAAATATAAGAATTTGCATATTTGAATTTTACTTACATTTATTTTTCTGTAATCTATGGGCTTTTTGTCTTGGGGGCCACTGTACAATTTCTCTGTACCAGTAATAATAATGAGCACAGCAACTTCTTTATCCAGATCAGAATGTAACATACACTGTCGTGAGTCTCAGTGATTGAGTAATTGTTAATTGAGTAATTGTGTTCGCAGCTCTTACTTGGACATGGTCTTCTGGATGCCGTGGCGCTGCGGGCTACTGGAGGATTTGTCAGATTTAGCAGCAGCTGCTGCTCCAGAAGCTTTTCCAGCTCCTTTAGACGCTGCTGTTGTTTCCACTTTCAAAGGGGGGGGCGCCGTGGCCCCTTCCTCTGCTGACGGGCCCGGCCCTCCAGCCACAGAGAGTCCTTGTCCTATAGCAGCCATGGCAGTTACCCTCTCCCTGGGGAGAGTGTTAGTCGAGCCAATGGAGTAGATGGGCAAACTGGAGTAAGGTTTGGATGGCAGCCGCATCTGTTAGAGGGGGAGGGTATGAGTGTAAATTAGAAGCATAATGATTACTGAGAAACAATACTGAGGCTAATCACCCTTTATTATAAAACCTTATATTCTCACTTCACAACTCACAGAGAGGCTGTTAGGCCATTTTAAATTTAATGTAAGCTATTAAATATGCTAATGTTCGTGAGATTGTTCTATACTGAGTCCTGGAAAATTCTTTCTTTTTATAGTGCCTCTATTTTTGGTCTGGACTCTCGTGATAGAGAGGAAACAGCCAGGAAGAAGTGTGAGTGTCGCATCTTTATCTACACAAGCGCTCTTAGAGAAAACATGAACCGTTTGAATGTCACCATATTTTTATTAGCTGACAAAACAACTGAGGAAGTAGGAGGCATGATCTCGTTTTTTTATTCTTTTAGACTTACCTTTTTGCAACACTGTGAACACACCGGCCTGCAAGGCAAAGAGAGAGAATGAATAGGAAGTGGTGAATTAAAGCATTTATACTTTCTTAGATAATCTAAATACAAATCATGCCAGTGATTAAGACAATGATGTTTTACTTTTTGCAAAACTGGCAGACGTAGGACCAGGTGAAAAAGGAAAACCTTTTGGTTCGACAACAGAAGCAAAGCTGCAAGAAAAAAGAGATGAAGAAAATATTAGAATCCATAATTTGATCCAATCAATTTATTAACACTAATAATCTCTTTCATTCTCTTTAACTCATGGCGGAGTCAAGAAAGGTTCAAACCTACATATTCAGTAATAGTGTTGCTACTGTAAGTGATGGCTGGTTACTGTATCTACTTGTTTTCTCGACATGATCCATATATAGTGCTGTAGAGGTTACCTTTCCTTTCTTCATGGCGTTGTAGATTTCTTTGTACTGCTGGAACTTCTCCAGCTCTGCCTTCACCAGCACCTGTCTGATGTGCATCACCTCCTCCACCGTCAGAGACAAACACTCCACAGGGAAACAGAACTCCTCCTACAACACACACACACACAAACAGTGAGTGGCCTTGGCAACAGAAGATTCCACACAGGACTCAGTATTTATCATTCAGTCCACAAGCAGCTGTCCTTCTGCACCTTTCAGAGCAGCCTGTGTGGGTCCAGGCAACATTAAGGTCATAAAAATGCCTCATTACTCACTGAAGACAAAGCTGGATTAAGATTCAGAGAGGGGCTACAATGTGCAAAGGAGTGATGGAGTGATGGGAGGACACGTTTCCAGCAGCGATGCAGGGAATCACAAACTGGGCACCGACTGTGTTGAAGGACTATTGCAACCTGATTGGAGAATTTAGTTAAATCATATATAATCGGTGCATTGTTCTACAATTTTTCATTGCTTTCTGTGCTATTTTCCCTTTACTACAGTTATTTTTCAGAGTACATATTCTGTAACAAAGACTGTCTCAATATTTTGAGATTCTGTCAGTGAATTAAAGCCATGTTCATCTGGTTTCCTTTGCTGGAATCTGTGCTTTGGAGGAGAGTGAACATTGGACTTATGTTGGACTTACTATCATACAGTGACCAGGGTTTGGTTGTACCAACTGTAAATGAATGCTCATGTTGCTCTCTGCCTGCTGGATGTGTAAATAAGCAATTGTCTGCTAATACATTTGCCATTACAACTTTATAGTTGAGTTATAGTATGTCAGTGTTGTGTTTACAGCTTGTTCCACTTCCCCCAAGTAGCGAAACTAAACGAACCAACTAAACTAAATGAAAAAAAATGTTCAAATTAAAATGAAATAAAAGTTTGTTGTTTTTACAAAGCCGTCTCATAATAGAAGGTTCACTGATTTTACTCCTACAGGGCAGTAACACACAGCCTGGGAAAACAGTTGTGTAATGTCTTATGAGCTTGTGAGAAGGGTCTCAAAAAGAGATGCTGCAGGTTCGGTTGCATTGGGCCTGTGTAAGAATCGAATGTAATAATCGAATGTATCTTCAGCCTTTCTAAATAGAAGTGCAATACTAAAGGCTCAGGCTCAGCTTCAGGTTCAGGTTACTGTCATTGCCACATGCTCCACATACACACAGGGAGATGAAATGTCATTGCTTGGATGTAAACAAAGTCCAGTGTCTTTTCTCCTCTTTTTCTCCGACTTGACATGTTGGTGGAATTTTACATTTACAGGACTGAAGTCACCAGGGATGATGAAAAGACTGTGCTGTGTGCTGTGTGTTGATCGCTGATGCCGCTGTACTGCTCTCACAGGTAAACTGTTAAAACAAACACAGCTGTGAACTCCCTCATCGGAAATTACAGCCGGCACTTCACGGCTGTACACTCCACCAGCGCAGAACAGGACAGTCTTTGAACACAACCACTGCTGGCCTCCTGTCTGAACACACCGACTGAGACTTTTCTTTAGTTTTATATTTCCTCTGCCCACTTGTTCATTGTTCATATTACTATTCAAAATAATTAACTGATTGTTCCATCTTTGCTATTTCTGTACTGTAATTGCTTGTTGCCTAACAGCAAACATACTCACTGAGCTGTTATCGGACAATTCATCCATCTCACTCTAATTAAAAGTGTAATAAATGAGCCCATTGAGGCTCAGAATAGAAAAGCTTTTGTTGAATCTGAATTCCTGCTGCTTTTAGTTTTACCTTCCAATTTCAATCATGAGCAAAGTGAGAAGTTGTTTTGAGGAGTTTTATGTTTTCTTACAATGGAAATACAACATGCTCAGTGAATGAAGGTGACACTGATCATGAAAAAGCCCTGATGTTATTGTATATTTGTCTTCTGGTCCTGTAAAGAGCCTTTTTAATAGTCACACATCATGAGTCACTGACTGCTGCTGTACAAGGTAATGAACTGTAATCCCTGCTCATCTCATGACTCCTGACAGCTACAGTACACTGCTTTGTTACCAAACCAGAGGCATGAAGGGGAAGAAGCATCAGACAACTTCAACTATATTTTTTTATACCTTCAGAAAAATGGTGAAAAAAGAAACTCAACAGTGTATTCAATATATGAAAACCATAGGTCTCGGGCACCCTGCTGGTCTAAGGATTTAAGGTGCCAACCAAGAACTGCAGTGTCCCCTGGTTCAAATCCGGCTGGAGAGCTTTGTTGCATGCTGTTCCCCATTTCTCTTTCCCATCATTTCCTGTCATCCCTCTTTTGAAAACCAGCTTATGAATTATTTTAAAGGACCCATATTGTATAAAGGTAGATGTCCATGTGTTGTTTGATTATAAAGCAGGTCTAGGTTCTATATTAATACTGTGAAAGATTTCAGACACTGAGCCTTAAAACCAGCCGTCAGGACTTCGGGAACTTTGTGATGTCACTACAAAAGCAGTCACCGCTCTCAGCCCCACCCACTTGGACCCACAATCCAACCTTACAGGATTTGGTTTCTCTGAGTGTTTTACCTGAACTCTGCTACATTTTTATTAGATCATTCAGAAAACAGTCAGCCAATCAGAAGAGAGGCTCAGATCCTCCTCTCTTCTGATTGGCTCATTCACCTGTTGTTACTTGAGCTCCAGAGAGAAGTCTGAGAGAAGATGTATAACTACACTGAGATGGTTTTTGGTTCTTAAAACCACAAATATATCTTCTGATCAACACTTCAAATAAAACACAGGAAAAGTGTAAAAAAGGCGACCTTTAAAAATGTGCAGTTTGGGGGGAAAATCAGAGGTTAAAACCTGAAATTTAATTAATAAACTAACAAATTATTTCTCCTATATTAGAGCAGATTTGATGTAATTTAGCTACTTGTGTTGGAGTGTTAAGATGTTATCCAAAGCAGTGAAGCGAATGATATTTGTCACTATGTGATCACAGTTCAGTCTGTACTCAGGCAGCAGCCTGCTCTACTGTAGGCGAATGGTCTCTAGTGAAGCAGGAAGCATTAGGAGAGGATGGGCAGCTACAGTTATGATCGCCTCGACGGACTGAGGACAGACTGGCAAACCTTGGCTGACTGTCTTCCACTGATGTAAACGCTTCTGCACAGAGCAAAAACTGCCTTCATCAACCCCAACGCAAACGCCTCGATAGGCTGGGAGCTCCGCAAAGGGTGGAGAGTGGAGGGAGAAGGGCGAAGGAGGAGGAGGAAGGGGATCCAGGGACGAAATGAGGCTACGGTCCGAACCTGAACGAGAGAAGATACAGATGTGTGTGTGTGTGTGTGTGTGTGTGTGGGAGGGAGGAAGAGAAGGGTCCCTGCAGTTTGACAGAGATAAAGTGAGCACACACAGTGGATTTGGTGATAGAAAGAGGACAGGAGCATAATCCAGGAAGAGGCACGTCACACAAACAAAAGGATAAGAGAGATGACTGTGTGTGTTTAGTTTCAATCCCTCCTAATTTCCTCTTCTGGCCAGATCCTGATGTTTCCCTTATCTACCCCGCTCTCCATGTCTCACTCTGTTTCTCTGTCTTATTAAGTTACTGGACAGAATCACTGTGACCAGGCCGGGATTAAAACCTTCCCAGGCTCCAGCCCCCTAAGGGAAGCTGAAGATTTTGTCTGATTATAATCACATTCATCATTTAAATCTTTTGTGCTTTTATAAACTGTTTTACATTCTTTTATCTTCTGATTTAAAAAAAAAAAATCAAATATGTTTTTTTGATGGTACATGAGGACATATGAGGAAGGAAAAGACATCTGACTCACCAGAGACTTGGAGCTCTGTTTGGACGGCGGCAGAAACTGTCGTACATTGGTCGGGGTTTCCTTCTCGATGGAGTGTCTCCTCTGGGGGGTCTGACGCCTCTCTGGCTGAGGTGTAGAGGAGATGGGCAGGAACATGGGGGGAGCTGGTGTTCACAGACAGAAGATAAGAGATGTACGAGAAGGAAAAGAGGGACGCTCAGATGGAAAGGGCTTAAGTATTTCAGATGTTAAACAGACACAAGAAAAACCAGCAAACAACATGGCAGGTGAGGCTGTGAGATTAAAACTAATCGATCACTCTCAGCGGGTGGTTTAGTTGAGCGGGCGACCGAGCTGTGACAGGGATGTAGAAATAATTCCTGACTCACTTTTCTTCCCCAGTGCAGACTCTGGGGATGTATCATCCATCAAAGATGTAGCCACACTGGAGCTGCTGGCTGACTTGCGCCCAACGAACTCATCCTGAACATGTGGAACATACAAGCAACTTTATCATCATTTGCTCTTTCGCACGCCAGATGCAATTCTCCAAATATCCCACCCACGCAATCCACACACACACACACACACACACACACACACACACACACACACACACACACACACACACACACACACACACACACACACACAAACAAACTCATACTGACATCGGAGTCAGAGCTGTCCAGTTCAGCGAGGCTGGGGGCCTTCAGGAGCCTTTTCCTCTGGGGTACAGACTGGGATCCGGAGGGCTCCAGTTTGGGAGATGCTGTTCCATTTGTGAGAGACAGAGAGCTGGAAGTCCTCCTGCCCATGTACGGACTAAACTCATCTGTACAGAGCCACACAAGAGAGTTATACAGACGCAGGGGGTAAAAACACTCGAAATGAATCTCAATTCCTCTCATGATTCCTTGCATCGTTAATCTGTTTGTATTTATCTAAATCTATCTTCATTGTCCTGTTCCCTCAAGAAAAAAGGGGAAACAGGTTCTTTTCTGATAATGTTGATAGTGACATGAAAAGATGCAATGAATCCTGCCACAGAAGACTGAGGTTTGAGATCCATCCCAAGGGAAACGAGGGGCGGAGGGGTGAGTTAAGTTGGTCTGAGGGGAGGCAAAGGAGCAGGCCGGTGTTACACACAGAGCATGGATTCCTCTTTAATGAAATATTTAGACTCTGAACTCCTAAAATAGGATTCTTTCTCCTGACAGCCTCCATGGTATTTTTTTTTTTTTGGTGGGGGGGGGGGCTAAATCCTTGAAACCAAATTCCCCAATTCACTAACCTGGTCATTTGTGCACTGACAGGAGTCATCAGTCCAAAGACAGAAATCAATCCATGATAACCAACCACCTACCAAGCTGCCTGACTCTAACTGTGATGTCTGGAAGCCCAAATTGAACAAAGAAAAAAACAAAAACAACAACTTGAAAAGAGGGTTTAGAGGGAGGGAGTGTGAGAAGAGGAGACAAGCAAGTGCTGCAATAGAGAGATAAAGAGCCACAGCTGATAGGATCTATAGGATCCTTTCAGTCTCTGTCAGCAACCTCATGAGCTCGTCCTCTCAACAGGAGCTGTGTTTCTGCTTCTAAACTGGAAGTGTTTCTCTACCACGTCAGATTCCTACACATAAACAAACCGGCCGTAATTAACTGTACACTCTACCTGCGTCTTGGCTATAGGCCTTAGCGTTCAAATGTTCAAATCGAGGAGATATTAGTTTACAGCCAGGGAGGAAGACAGACAAGGCCACTGGGTTAAAGGTGAACAAGGCCTTCTGAACCACAGCGGTGCTCATACTTTACCTAGTCCTGCACGGAACAAATCCTGAGGCATACTGCGAGTTTTGCCAAAACCTAAAAGGGGACACCTCCTTTATTAGGATAACTACAAAATCATTTGTGTGTACCGTTAGATCTCAATGATCTGTGGTGATCAGTGCATTGTTTTGTAATTCAGTGTGCATGTTTTAGCTGGATCCTTTTTTTGTTTGATATTTGCAGAAATACAATCATTCTTCTTCTTGCCGAGTTAGATGGGTCGATCGATATCACTCTCATGTCATGTGCATTAAGTATGAAGCTTGAGCCAGGAGGTGACCAGCCAGTGGAGATTTCAGGAGGTCAGAGGTGTTGGTAGGTGTAGGCCTATATATCTTTTATTTATACTTTAAACAGAGTCATTTCCAGGATTCATGCTAAGCTAAGCTAATCACCTCCTGGCTCTATTTTAAAGGGATAGTTGGGGTTATTTGACATGGGGTTATGTGAGATAGTCGTGCATACTCAGTGTGTTACCTGCAGTAGATTCAGATCAGCATGCTGCCAGTTAGGAGAGGCAGCCAGGAACATGGTACACTAACAGAGCGATGTGTTGCTGTGCACGGGGCCAGCAGAAAAAAAAGACATCCACTGAAACAATCCAATATCTGTTTATATGTACATTTCATGTACAATATTTTCAGCGGTTTATCTTCCTGTCAAAACAGCACTTTCCTTTGGTACTCCATTTTTCTCAACCGCTGAACTACCGTATTACTATGCACAAGCGCACCTACGGAGCGCACTGTACCATGTCGCAGCTGCAGGTCAGCTGAGAGAATAAAATGGGATCAGATGTTTTCATGGGAAGATGAAGCGCTGAAAATATTCTAAAGGAAACGTACATTTAAACGGATACAGGATTGTTTCAGTTTTTTAAAAGTGTCTAAAACACGTTTTTTCTGCTGGGCCCCGTGCACAGCAAAGTAACACACTAACTATGCATGACTACCTCACAATAACCCCACATCAAATACTATCCCTTTAATATTTACTGTAGAGCCAAGAGTGGTGTCAAACTTTTTTATCTAACTCTCAGCAATAAGTAAGTGTTGACGTGTTGACGTGTTGACGTGTTGACGTGTTGACGTTCCAGTTTTAGGGAATGAAAAAGACAAACAACAACCATCAAGCAAAAAAATGCACCCGGAAAGATCATAGTACGTCACCAAGAACTGTGTAACAACAGCACTTTAATCTCGTGAGATGAGTTTCTCCTTGAAGTCGTATTTTTCTCGTTCTCTTGTCGTTACAAGACAAGAGCTTTAATCATGGTCATTAAAGTGTTAGTGCGTATGTACACTCTCCCCATAAAGTACAGAGTGAAGGAGAATCAAACTGCTCCCTCTGTACAAGAGTGATGTTTTATAGAGGGAAGACTGTACACACACACACACTCACACTCAAATACATTATTGGACAGTAGGAATGAGTGAGCATGAGGTGATAAAGCTTGTGGTGTGATGAGAGACACGGGCTGCAGCAGGAGGGAAAGTGGAGCACAGCATTATTCTGATTTCTCTGCCACCTCAGAGAACATACAGTGAGTGTGTCCAGTGCTGTGCAGCACATGAGACTGCACATTGATCCTTCTGCACCCTGATGAAATTCTGCACAGACGCATTGAAGACCCTTTTGTATAAAGCTGATGACTCTTTAGGACACAAAGGAGGCAGTTCAGCTGTTCCTTTTCAGTCCTTGATCAGATGGCCGGCTGCTCAGCTCTACTTGAGATTCACATCACGGCAGTGTGTTTGAGGGATGGTGTACTTAGCAAAGGCGACACTTTTCCTGAGTGTCTAGAGATCAGCAGCAACAACCAGGGACAATCTTTCAGGAGTCACATGACGCTGTGCATTAGTTTGACAGGAGCTGGAGAAGGGAGCAGCTATATGAGCTGTTGACTCAACACTTCTAGATGCCTATCATTCAGTATGTTGTGAGCACCAAAATGATGTCCTATAGAGAAAGTGCGCTGAGGATAAGCTGTACTCAACGGGAATACAACTAAAGAGGAAGAAACAGTGATATTGTACATAAACCTCAGTTGGATTATGTTATATAATTTAAACCATCACTGGCCATTAATTCAGTATTTAAACACTGGCTTCTGTCCATAGTACCCAGAGCAGTGAAGCCCTTTAAATATCCCAATCCATCTGTGGGGCAATGTGATGTGTTTCAATCAGCCAGAGATGAGTTTAATCTCCTCCTTTAGGATAGCCAGATGCTAATGGGAAGTTAGGATCCCCTCCTCTGACAAAAACCATGGACAGTGAGTAGAATAAATGCAATAAGTCTGGCTCATGTAACTAAACAATAACTATCAGCTCGGTGTCTGTTATTTTGTGGAATAAAAACATGGAGAATAACTATTATTGCTCCAAAGAAGAACACATCAATAGCAACGCATTTTTGCTGCCCTAAAGTGAAAGAATTCAATGTCTTGTGTGCTGTAATTACATTAAATTGCTGGTTCACATGTTGATATGTACATATGAACATCGAAAGTGTTACTGGTTGCTCTTTAAATTATCTTTAAATAAAATTGTGTTTTTCTCTGACTATACATTGACTAGTAGTGAGAGTGTTGCTGATTTATGTAACATTATGTAAAAACAGTGGGTGTAATAAACTACAGCTTCAGCCTACACCTTTCCAACCGGTATTATGTTTTATTTCTCTGTGTAAGTACTTTTTTAAAGAGGAATAAGCTAAAATAAAAATTCACTGAAGTGTTTGATGCTGAGCCGGAGCCGAGGGACAGTAATATAAAGAAGGAATATTGTATTAAATAGACAGCACCTCTAGAAGGCACCCATTAGATTTGTCTCACTCTGAAAGACTCAAATTAGCTTCAAATGAACTTTTTTTTTTTTTACTCAGAACTATCAATTGTGTCGCCTATCTCTTACACCGTAAATTGCTTTGAGAAGGAATTTCTTCACAGCCACTGTGGACAGGATGAACAACTACAAAGACCAGCAAAATATAAACATGTCAGAATTATATTAGTATAGACTTATCATTTAATATTGCAAAACAAGAGACAACGTCATACTGCTGCACAATCCATCCCACAACAGCAGGTTTTTGAGGGGCGAATTACAAGTTAGATACTTTCAACATAGAGTAATACTTTCACTTTCTTTTTAGCTTTCTTGTCTTTTTTTTCAGCTCCTGAGAGCAATACCTGCCTCTTGAGCTACTCAGTGCTAAGCTAAGTTCAGCAGCTAGCCGCTAACTTTGTCAGTACATTGTGCATGGTGCATCTGGTACATGGTGCTGGGCAGGTAGCATATAATGGATTTATTAAAGCTTTTCCACTAAAAACAGCTGCTGCTGGAAGCAAGATAAAATATGATGATAAAATGATAAAAGTGTGTGTCCGGAAAACCAAAACAAAGAGCTGAAAGGTGCTAAAAAGCTTCATAGAGCCACATAGATAATTCTCTGTGGGTTCGTCACCCTACAAATGAATCACTCATTTGATCCATTGTCACATAAAGAAACAGCAAACAAAAAAACTTTTATCTAGATTTGTAAATTTTCATTTAATCTGTTAAATCATATTTTATGTAAATTGTATTTCCCAACTTTGAGGTCTAAATGCTAAAATTTGTCAATTGATTCTATTGAGCAGCATATAAAATTATCTTCCATGTGTATGTTTTAAATTGTAGAACATAAACTTCACTCAGTGCAACTCAAAATCCTGTGTATCCGACGTGTCCTCCCACTGACCTGTGTCTCACATCACCATGTTTCACCTCCACAGACCATAGCCAACCATCACCAACCACTGAAGCATGACATGAAATGTGTGTGCAGTGTGCTGATGTGTGTGTGCAGTGTGCGTCTGAGCCGGGAGAGCAGATGAGCAGCCACAACAGTGAGGAGAACAGAAAGGTAATAATAAAATAAATAAAAAGCCAGGTAAGCAGTGAAGGAAACTTTACCTGACGCGTCAAAACTGAAAGACATGCTAAGTGGCCGAATTACTGCAACGAGAAACAGTCATGGCATCGGGTGGTTATTGCTTTGATTAGGATGTAAATTAAAGCAAGACTTAGGACAAAAAAAAGGAAGTTATTTTCTTATACTTGGCAAGGAATGCAGGGGTATAACATGCTGATTGTCTGGTTTCAGATCACTGAGATCTGGGAGATAATAGGATTTCAAATAAACCACAGCCAATGGTGAGAGATTACTGTCATCCAGACACTGTAAAGGTTTTAGCATTGTTAGTGTTAGTGTTAATGGAATTGCAGACACTTAGCATTATTACTCATGTACAGCTTTCACTATATTGCAAACAATATAGTCAACAAAACAATAATAGGCATTAATTGCAACACAAATATGAAAAGTTAGGCAGCATTAGCTACAACAGCAAAGAGCAGAGGCACAAATAAGAGTGTAGTAAATAATAAATAATAAATAAATAATGAAGCTACAACATATTTCTCATCTGATTGTTGTTGATTTGCACATGATGTTCAGCAGTTTTGGAGGATCAGCTCCATACTTCAACTTTAATAAAACATATTTCAGAGTGAAGTATGGTTTCATGTGCAAGACAGTGTGTGTGTGTGTGTGTGTGTGTGTGTGTGTGTGTGTGTGTGTGTGTGTGTGTGTGTGCAGCAAAGGTGTAAAAAAAAACAAGAGCACAGATAAAGAGGAGCTTTCTTACCCAGCCTTCCCCTGCGGACCTGATCAGGAGACACCGGCCGAAGTTTCCTCTCCGCTTTGATTTCCTCCAGGATGCGCTCGTGCAGGGTGGGAGGAGGCTGAGTCTGCGGCTTCAGCTTGCGAGCTGACACCTGTAGCGCAGATGATGACGGGTGAAAGATCCGTAACGACAGAGAGTAATTAGTGTGAAAGAGAACAACTAGCACAAACAAACAGAGAGCCAGCAGCCCTGCTCCTCAACACCCCCTCATCTCCTTCAGAGGTCTGCTGAAACAGCACCCGATCGTTCTGATGAGAGATTCATATCAACAGAGAACTGATGAACGCAGCGTTTCACTGAGCTGCAACAGTCATGTTTTACCAACAGGCTACACTGGGTTTTTATAGAACTTCAGGAGACTGTCCTCCTGTTAAAACTACCCCCACCCCACCCCCCCACAGGTCGTCTGGGCAAGCAGCTGATTATGAACCATAGTTACGTTTTAATGTTAGGTGACATGTAGCATAGTAATTATGACGGGAGGAAGGAAAAGGAGGATGTTAGGTGACGTAGAGTGACAAAATCTGTGTTAGGGAGGAGGGCTGGGAGCGATGGGTCAATGAAACACAGGCCTTTAACACAGGAGACCGCTGTTTGTTTCCAGTGTAAAACCAAGTCAGCTTTCTTTTGTTATTCATGACCTTTCCTCAACAAAAAAATAACACCACAGCAGAGACAAATATATTGTTATAAGGCAATTTAGAAAAAATGTCACGCTCACTACATACTGTATCTATCTGAAGGTTCCTTTTTAAAATGTTTGTTCATGTAATGTAGTTGTGAAAAACATTTTTTAAACTCTCAAATCAACATTGACCTCAAAAATCCAATATTGATTGGGCTATAATTTTATGCCCTAGAAACTGTCTTGTAAGACAGACTATGTCCTGTATATTGTTTTTCTATGTGTTCTAATAGAAGCAGACTAGCTAATGGAAATTCTCCAACAATAAAAGTAAAGTAATAAAGTCAAAATAAATAAAACTACTCTGGTTTGTTTGTGTTAAATTGTTTTATACAGTATTGTGATCTCTGAGTTAGGGTGATGATTGCATAAACTACATCAGATTATTGATTGCTTATTGATTTAAAGACAGTGCACTGATCTATTTTTACCAGCCGAAGTTTTCATAGGCTGTGCAAGGATGGTGTCTGTCGTGATGTTTAAATCCACTGCCTTCAGTTGTACTCACAGGGTTGAGAGGTGGTCTGGACCTGATGAAATCCAGGATGACCTCATGAGCGCTCTTCTTTAACCTGGGTGGGATGTCTCCATTCACCTGAAACAACAGAGCAGGTTGTAAAACAGCATGACAACAGAGGAATGGCTTGATTCTTTAACTACTTTGTAATCACTTGTGTAGATAAAGCTCACAATGCACAAATAATGCTTTTTATTATTATTATTTTATTATTATTATATTTACTAAGTGGAGTTCATGACATTGATTTGATCGATTGTTTAGTCTGTTAAAAATAAAAAATGAAAAAACAACTGTGAAAAATGTTCTCAGTGTTGTATAACCAATAGTCCAAAGCCCAAAGATATTCAATTGACAATGATATAAAACAGTTAAAGGAAGCAAATACTGCAGCAGCTGTGTGATTAATGACTTATACAATTAACTGAATTGAATATTGAATTATTGAATTTCTGATAAATCTTTTATTGAACAACTACTTGATTAATTGACTGATTGTCTCAGCTCTACTGTCAACAGTGCCAAATGGCATATTGTAACACGCATGGCTTAGATGAATCCAAAACAGCCCATTACGTAGCACGATGTCCCATGATCATTTTGACTTTTCCAGCCACTACAAGTGAAATACTGGAGCCGCAAAGTGTCAAACTAAATGTCTAAAAATGATTGAAAACAGATCATCAGCCCAGCCTGCAATTACTATGCAACAGTGTTGTTTTCCAAGAAATTTCCCCTCAGACTGAAACAACAGTGCAGCACGTGGCATTCACACATCGGACACTCACCATGACTTTGCGCAGTTTGTACCGTTTGGACCTGATGTCGTCCATGAGCATCTCATAAGGAGTGAGCTGGTACTCGATTGGCAGAGGGTTGTACTGACGCTCCTGCACCTTCTTCAGCTTGACTCCTTCACGCAGGTCCCTCATGACCTGAACCCAGAATCGAGCCTGACGGAGGAAGCAAAGGGCAGCATGGGAAAGGAGACGTGGGAAATACCACGACCCTTTGAATATGAATTTATGTGGACAATAGCAATCATCTGTGATCTGACCTCTCTGTCTGAGTAAGGAGGGTTCGTCAAGGGGAGTGGTTCTTTTATCACTGCCTAGTTACAGTGGTAAATGCATTCATATAGATTTGATTTTTTTTCCCCCTGCCTGTTAGACTTTGATAAAAAAGAAATGATGAGTTAAAGCTGGAGGTCAGAGGTCAGGAGTCCTTTTGCCTACCCAGTCAGCGTTCTGCAGCTCGTTCAGGTCTCGGCCAGGCTCCTCTGACGACTCCTCCATTTTACGGAGGTTCTGGTGGAAAGAGACAGAGAGACAGTTTGGATATAGAAAAAAAATCAAAAACACAGTGAGAGAAGTCGGGGAGGAAGGAGGCTAAAAAGAAAAGAATGAAGATCCAGCACGTGGATCCACAAAGTCAAAAGTGTTCATACAGTTGAGCCTGTCATGTTGTGACCCTCACACTCTGGTGTCAGTTAGCCATAACTATAGACTGTAAATAAAGATGGATGCAGCCTTTGTGACGTCAGTCACAGGCTTCTGAAGAGCGGTTTTGAAGCTAAGAGTGAGCTGCTCCATCTTGGCAGTACCTGACTGCCAAATTCTCGGCTAATCCAAAAATGGGCAAAGAGGAGGGGTGTGTGTGGAGCTGAGGCAATTAGGCAGAATTAAAGCCTTAATAAAATGTAAACGAGAAAGTTTTATAAAAATTCACCCCATGCAGTTGTCATGAAGGAGGAAATTAGCTAAAGAGACCAAAACAGTTTTTTGTGCCAGGCTATAAACATGTTTATTTTTGCTGTAAAGTTGGACATTTTAACATGGGAGTCTACGGGGATTGACTCACTTTTGGAGCCAGACTCAAGCAGCCATTCGAAGAAGTGGCGTTTTTGGTACTTCCATGTTGACTGTTATTCCTACTATGACAAGTCAAAATGTCTGCTGTGATTAAGGCCTATTTGCAGATCAGCAGCTGTTAGCATGCTAACACACTAAGAGAGTGAACATGGTATATTACTTACTAAACACTAGCATGTAAGCACTGTGGTTGTGATTTAGCAAAGCAACCTCCACTGTCTTTCCAACTAATATAATTTTTTCAATGGGTTTCAAAGAATCAAATTTTGACTTTTAATCTTCTATTTTTTAATAAGCACTTCAACTGTACAGAGCTGCTAGCTAGTTCCAGTACAACCGGTATCAGCCCTTTAAGAAGGAAAGAAAAAAGAAAAAACATAACACAAATTCACATTTTCTGTGAGGACATGTCCCTGTTTTCAGGCATTCAACAGTAAACCCAGCTGCTCCACTCTGACACCTGTGTGAACCTGCACAACGTGAGGCCATTAGACTGTGGTACAACACTGTCGGCCTGAGTGACAACCGGTCTGTGGGAAGCATTCCTCTGCTCCTGCTCTCATAGTTCACGGAGGATAATGTCAATGTGTGTGTGTGTGTGTCTGTGTGAGAGAGAGAGATGGAGAGGGAAACAAAATGCAAGTGTGAAAGCATTTTAAAGCAGCAGGCAGACAGAAAATATGTTCACTGTGGTTAATATCTGGGGTGTTCTTATCACGTCACAGCCGAGGAGAGTTTGATAAGACAATCACGGGAGTCTGACCTCAAAGTTAAGACCTCAGCCCACTGGGGAAATCACAATTCACCATCATCCTGCCAGAGAAAAGCTGCCTCCACTGGACTGCAGGCTCAATGCATCAGTTACATAATGTCACTCGCAACATAATGCATTTTGCTGCATCATAACTCTGCATGCCTACAGTGTATATACAGTAGTCCATTTACACAAGGTAACCCTGAAGTGCTTAATTACTTATAACAGCCCATCAAATTAAAACACTGCTAACACAGCCAGCCATGAGTGTAAAGAGAGATTAGCTCATCTGCTTTTAAACACCATTATCTCATTGGTATGAGCAGCATGACTCCACATCACATCAAAGTCGCATATTTCCATTTCAAAAGGTTGATTGAGAAGTGTTCTCTGTGCATTTTAATTAAAACAACCCTCGTGTGGACAAAACCAACCGTCATACTGCTACAAGTCCTCATGGATAATTAGGGCAATTACCAACAGCCTCATTTTTTTTCTCGATGGTAACTCTGCTCTCTTTGTTATTTGTTTTTAGCTCAACAGAGCCTATCCGTGAGCAAACAGGAGCCTGAGTTGTTTCTGTGAATCGCCGATAATTCAACTGCTTTTCAGTGAATCTCCAGCAGCAGGAGGCGAGTCTGCGGAGGGACAAAGCTACTCTCTGGCTCGTAGTGGTGGACGGACAAAGACGGTCCCATGTGCCATACAGACAGGGAGGTGGGGGCCCATTTCACTCCTGGGTGTCTCACACACCACACACACACACACACACACACAGACACACACTTATATATATATGTAGATTCACACACAGAGACACACACGGCACAGACTCACATAGATATATGAACAGACTGGCGAAATCACACGACAGATACGCACCCACACGTCCTGCTCACACTGAGTTCATCCATGCATTCATGAATATGTAATCAGACAAACAGTCACATGCAGATGCACACACACACACACACACACACACACACACACACATACACACACGCACATTCTGCTCTAAATGACCATGCCTCACATTCACCAGTTCCCCATGAGGCTTGACAACAGTTTACTCTTCCATATGTGTTAATGATGAGGTCACATGTACTTTGTGCATTTAGCATCTGGACGCAATTCTGATTTTTATATATATATATATATTTTTTTTTTTTTTTTTTTTTTTTTTTTTTTCCCCCACCTTGTGTGTGTTTGCACTTCCAGATGGCAAGTTTTTACCCAAATGCTATTAGAGTACTTAACTGCTGAATATCAGGAGAATAAGCACAACCCCATCCTATAACATGCAGTAATACCCTGATCATGTGCAATATTATCTGTGCAATTCACCTATGTGCAATAATAACTGAGTACATGGACTCACTCTGCTTTTATACAATTCATTGTTTGTTTTTATTTATTTATACAGATTGTAATGTGTCTGCTGTAGTTTTTGTTACTGTATGTAGTTATGTTTACTGTGTGCATTGCTGTATGTACCTCTGGAGACACATCATTTCATTGTACACTGTGCAGTGACAATAAAGGCATTGAATTATTGCATTTGCAGACAAAAGACCGACGTAGCCATCAGTAAAGCTATGGTGGCTAAAATGGGGAATAAGATGCAACAGAAAAAGTAGGATAGAATAATTATAATCATCATACAGTGTTTCATGAAGGTCCAAACAAAGAAAACCATTTCATCCAGGATTTTCTATCTTTGTACTCCTGCTGGTAGATTGTTCACAAGTTACCTCATTTTAAATTCTTATGAGAAATAATGAAATCTATTTTAAGAAGTGCTCTATAAAATGACAGACATAGTGATGTTGATCACTTCTTTACTTTCTGGGGTTAAAAAAGTTGCTGTCCCCACATATCCTCCTTTTTAAGCTTCTTTCTCAGCCCTCTCCGCCTCCTGCAGTAAGAGTCCACTCTCTCCTCTCTATTTTCTAGCAGAGAGTTATGTAACCAACCAAATCCCCTTTCTTCATTCAGATGCATTACACACACTAAAAGGGCAGCAGCAACAGTAGTGCATGGCAGGAAGGAACCCTGAGGTGGAAGACACACACACACACACACACACACACACACACACACACACACACACACACACACACACTCCTCACGGGAAATGTTCCAACCCACAGCTGAGCTCCAAAATGTTTCTGGGGGAAAACAAAGGCCAGAATGACTCCTGCACTTTAGAGGAAGAGCAAATGAGTAAATAATGTATCTGTGATGAAAGAATCACACGATCAAGTCTACATATATATATATATATATATATATATTCATTTTCCCCTCATTTTCAAATCTTTCCATCAAGTGGAAAACAATGACTATGATGCATTCCACCCATTTAAATTCTTTATTCTCCATTATCTGCAAATGAAGCCTGAAAGTGATTTTGTACAGAAAATCACCTGCTTAGCCCCTTTGTTGAATATGGACACATGATCCATAACAGACAGCATGCCACTAATGCATCGAGGGGGCATTAATCCTCTGTGGTATGTCGGCAAGTTGGAAATAGGACCCTCGCACATGACTATTTTTCCTCATGCTTGTCTGGATATCTCCTCTGAGAGCCTGAACTCAGCAGTTCTGACAGAGTGAGAGTCAGCATGTCTCCAGATATTGTCATCTCTGTCTGTCATGCACAGCAAACACGTCACTCCCTCTTCACTGTGGCCCAGTTCAACCTGTCTGCCCGCAGGGTGTTAGGACATTACAACACTTGGCCAGTTTTGTATCAAAGCTGCTGAATGCTTGCTTTTTGTGATAATGCTCACCATTGCCAAGTTATACCACTTTCCAAAAAAAAAAAATAGAAAAAAAGTACACTTATATGTTCCATTTTGCAAAAAAGTAAAACCCTAGCATATTTAATTTCCTTTCATTCCCAACAAAGTCAAAATAATGTTAAATTGGTATCTGTATCGATTTGTTTAATCGTGTACCACAATTTAAACCTGATCTTCATGGGACTTCCAATGTGCACCACCAGTGTTCACATTAATAAAACCCTGATACAGAGACAGAAACGTTGTCCTCTACATATGGCAAAGTGAAGCTTTATGACCCATGGCACAAGTGAAAGTTGTCCTGTTGACATAACTATTTATGAGTGAACACCCTAACCCCTTTTCTGACTCCCTCTCTTCTGCTAATAACCTCCGTACAATACAGTACAATGTACTGGAGAGACAATAACATGCAGGCGGAGGCTCAGTTCAAAGTTTCAAATTAACTTAAATAACACAAATTGATATTATCATAAAATAAATTTAATTACAACACCTTTGAAACCTGTTTTTATCTGCTACATATTAAGCATCTGGTGCTGGCTTAATGAATTGTGATTAGCTGTGATGGCTGGACACAGATGTTGCCTCCACTCTCACCTTTGTACATTTTTTAATGGTGGTGGAGATTCTGGCAAATCACTGCACCACTGACATCATTTCTGTAGTTTGCTTTAAATTCATTCAATCAAACATCTTAATTTTGTACTAAAATTTTCACATTAATATTAAAGTGGAATTGGCATGTATTAAGTAACTTAAGGGGATGAAACCATGAATATAAGTAAAGCCTTTAATTTTTCTGCTAATGCCCCTGACTGGAGCCTTTAATAGCTTATGGTTCATTTATGTAGCCAAGTCCCTTGTCCTGCAAATGAAGAATTGAATTCAGAGATTTAAGGGGTGCTGGATTTACATTAAGCAATCTATTAAGGATTATAGACCTGAGTTTCTACTCAGTGCAAACCATCTAAGACATGCGTCACGCTATGTCCACTTTTTCCTACATGTCATAATCAATGAGTGATGCAATAAAACAATGAGAATAAGATGTTAGTGAAAGCTGTAAGTCACTTATTGAGTGTTTTGTCATACCATGAGTGAACTGACGTGTCCATTCATTTCTTTATCCACAGTCATTACCATGGATGCCTTTCAGAATCAGCTGTGCCACACAGGAAACATGGCTGTCTGTCTGACTGGCTGTCCGCATGTCTCTGCTGTGTCTATGCCTATGACACGCTCATGTCCAGCCCCTCCTCTGTAAGTGATGGTTTATTACTGAGGAAAGGGAACGATGGCTCACTCAGTTGTGACTGTTATGCTCTGCTGATTTCCTCACTTGAACCCTTAATACACCAAAGCGGAGTGAATACTGTAGTCACTTAGACTGGTTTATAGGTATTACATAAGAGTTGTTTTCTTTGTTAAAGGCTTAGAGTTGAATACTATTATATCTATGATTTTCAACTATTGGAATAAAGCAGTCCCACAGTGCTAACATTGGCCCAGTCAGTGGTCCCACACAGAGTGAAAGTCATGTTGATTAGTGGGGGTTTGTGGGGCACGTAAGGCCACAGTGCTAAATCTCCTGAGGTGATGCCTTGCCCCGTCTTTCACAGGCTGCATAACGGTCAGTGATCATCTCATAACCCTTTACTAAAGGGGAGCCCCATAACCCATATGCAGTAAGTTCGGTTTGTCTTTTAATTAATTAATTAATTAATAATTAGTATGTGTAATTAACACATTACTGATGGTTAAAACTGCTATCAATGTCTGAAAAAAAGAGCTCTATGAGCCGACACGATGATGATGATGACGATGATGATGACGATGATGATGATGATGATAAGGACCCACCTCTTTGGCACTCTTGATCTTCTCCAGGAAAGTGCGTAGCTCCCTGGTTTCTGTGTACAGAGCCCGGCACACTGCCTGGTAGTGACTGGGGGCGTCTGACAGACTGGGTAGATGAACTGTACACAGCTACAGGGACGACAGTGAAACACAGAGAAAGAGACATTTTCAGTGCAGTTACAGTTCACACAGCTGCATCTATTACACTTGACACAGAGGTGATGGGGGGAACTTCACAAAGTGCAATGCATGGCCATCAATATCCATGTTATTTTGATATTACAATCACATACCCGTCAAAGGGATTTCAGGTTATGTAGAGCACCCTCTGGCAGCCATGTTTGATGATCTCAGTGCTTTGTCACTGCTATCTGTGAACAGTTTTCTAAATGTATGATGTGACATATTTACATTTTAAAACACTGGGTGCTGGTGCTGTGACAAGTTCGCTAGTTAGACATGGTATTTGTTTAGGCAACTATCAGCGCTCGATTGACAGGTCCAATCTCCACACTAGAAATGAGCCAATCTCATAGAAGCCAGCATGATGCGATGTGTGATTGCTCAGGTTAATTTGCATGCTTCCTTGTTAGCTGACAATGCTAAAAACACAAACTGTCGGTCAAATGAGGCTGCTGTTCTCCAGCAATGACTCAGATTGCTTTGGATAGAGCAAAAGAGACTGCAGGGCAGTTTCTGTAACACAAAAACCTAAATTTAGGAATAAATAGAAGTGATCAGACTGTTGATTCAGAGCTCTCAGTCTACACCAACACCACAAAAAACCCTTCTCAGGTAACTTATCAAGGTTTTTTTTTATAGTCAGGGCTAAATTTGCACTTCACCACGTCGCCTCTGCACCTCCATGAGACAGAGACGTCAAACTGCGAAGCCTTTCCGGGATCTCAGTGACATAGCATAAAGGCAAAATACCCAAAAACATTTGCAGACATTTGTAAACAACTGTTTTGGACTGCTGAGTACAATTCACAAGACCGCTATGCCTGAGGTCAGCCGTACACACCAAGAGCAATGACAGACTACGTCCTTGTCTCTCTCAGAGAGAAGCTGGGTTAATGCTCGGCATGCTCTTGGCATCTTTTTGTCTAGACGGCATTCCAGTTAGAGAGAATTTGACTAAACACAGTTAATAACAGACAGCCTTCTCTCCTGAAGATTACCCTGCCATCATCACATCATAGGTGTGGGAAAATGTTGTATCCAGGGTAAATCAATATGCTATCTTACCTCACACGGAAATGCAAACGGATACATTAACTGAATAAATGTGGCACGGAGTTAAAAACAATTTACTGTGTCAACCAGGGACAGTACAGTAGGACAAAAGGTAAAGTGAGGGAGCACAGAGAGTGAATGGACTGGGGGTAAAAATACAGTGACAACAATTCAAACTGACAGCTCTGTAGCCACTGGGCCAGCCAGACAGCCACACTGCTCTGAAGCATCTCCCTGGAGAGCAGAGTTGGTGTGTCTGACTGGGTATGTGGTCATTATGTAAACCGTATGAGGCCATGTGAGGAATGACACACTGACTCTCTGCTCTGCTGAACAACAGATACATGACGCTTTACCAAGGATGAGGCTGGTTCAGAGTTCAGTGTTTAGCATTTTCATTTTCTCACACACAACTTTTCCTGAACAGTCGACCTCTGACATTATCTGTTCCTGGAGTCCGTAAGTGGATTATGGTTCCCCAGCAACTGTATTTCTATTTAAAGCTACTTTTACTTCTACTCCACCACATCACAGAAAAATATTTAGTTACTATTTTTGTCCAAAACATATAATGAAATTACTATATATGATACATTGTTATGTAATATATATTCAACAGAATAAAGTAGTTCAAATTAACTCAACTTCAACCAGATAAAACATTTACAAGCTTACAAGTTAAATTGTCAGTAACAACACATTCAGCAAGCATGAAGCATCATTAGCATTCATATCTTGGCTCTTGGCACAACAAAGTAATGATCTCATGTCTCTTCCTCAGCTACTGTACCCACCTTGAGGATATCTCTGTAGCCGTGAACACTGGAGATGTCGTCAGGGTCATCCTCCACCTCATCCTCTTCCTCTGTGGCCTCATAACCTTCGTCGGGGCAGGCATCCCTTGTGGCCTCGGCCATGTTGGTCATGAGGTCGATGAGCTGCTCCAGAGGAGGGCTGAGCTCCCTCTCCTCATTCTCCTTCAGCCCGTAGTCCAGAGCCTTGTAGATCATGATGCCCAAAGACTCAATTACCTGAGAGAGAACAAGAGACAACCAAAAACTAGAATTACTGTCTCATGGTTGTATCCCTCCGCCACTCAGACTAGTTTCAGGTTAGATCCCTGTTTATCCAGAGTCAAATAAGTCCAAGGGAATGTTTGTGCCAAATTTGAAAAAGGTCCTTCAAGGCGTTACAGAGATATTGCATTCACAAGGCCAAAACCACGATTTGTGAGGTCACTGTGACCTTGACCCTTGACCTTCGACCGCCAAAATCTAATCATTTCATCCTTGAGACCTAGTGAAGGTTTGTGCCAAATTTGAAGTTGGCACAAACCTTCCTCCTTGTGTCCACGAGAATGGGACGGATGGACGGACCACCCGAAAACAATATGCCTCCAGCTCTGGGCGTCGCCGGTGCAGAGGAATAAAAACACCTTAACATGATCTGCACTCGCTCTGTGCTCCTTCCATCTGCAGATATAACCATGTTAATAACTTACAATATGCATGAATAATAAGAAAACAATACATTCACTTGTGTAGAAAACATCCTTTGTTGTGTCTTCTACCTAGTTCTGCTGTTAAAAACAAATGTGGATTTGTGTCTTTGTTATGCAACATGACCCTATTTTGTTTGCAAAGCCTGCGCTGAACAGCTGTAATATGGTGACCTCATGACTCAACCTTTGACGAGCGAGCACCCTCCCTCTGTTATTCATACACACACACACACACACACACACACGCACACTCACTGGCCTTTGACTGGCTGACCCGGGGAGCAGATTACTGATTGTAGATCATGTGATTAACTGACGCATGAAGGAAAACACTGTCATCACATCATACATGTCCTTGTGTGGACACAGTCAGTCTTTTAAAGCACAAAAGAGTTCAGAGCATTTAGAACGGTGAAAGAAGATAACGGATCATCAACCATTTGTTTAGTGACTAAGACTGATCCTAGTTTTTCAAGATATCACAGCTTAAAATAATCTCGACCAAAGGTTTTGCCATTAAAAAGTCACCCCTGTAGACCTGAAGGGTGCCTATCATACGTTGATTTGTATACTGTAACAAAGAGGCTAAAAACCTCAAATCCACTTCCCTGCCGGTTGTTATGAACCTTTTGATACTTCATTTCAACTGTGAAGTCTTCAAGCTGATCCCACAGTGTTAGATTTAGAGAGCTGATGATTTGAACCTGCATTAATTGACCTTTTGGCCAGTTAAGGTCAGTGCAAGTGCTGAGAGCAAAGCACTGACATATTATGGTATAAAGATGAACAGTTTCTTATTCACACATCCAGCAGACGGAGAGCAACATTAGCTTTCATTTGGAGTCATATTTCTGGCAACACAACAAATTACAAGTTCAATATTCCCTCTCCTCTCCATCAACTTCTGAGGGAAATATCTGTACACAGTATACACTGTCAACAGGATGACAGAGCAGTTTCTAAATTAAAACCATTTTCTGATAACAGTGCAAGGTTTTTTTTTTTTACGTTTAAGTACAAAGACAACTTGGTTAGGTTTTGGGAATGATCCTGGGTTAAAATAAATACTTGGTTACAGGGTTAAGAGGAATTCATCATCATGGCTTCAATAATAACCACTTGGTTATACTTATGGCAACATGTCCTCCAACCTAAAAGAACCATACAGGTTGTTTGCCCCAACCCTCTGGAGCATCTGCTGAATTAACGCCCCTAGAAACACAAAAGGCAACGCTGACTGTTGGTTTGACAGAGGAAACAAACACAGGTCTCCAGTCCAGTCCTCCTCCATATGTGGACTTAGTTGCTCCATAACATCACCTGACTTCCTCCTTTGCTCCCGTCGTAATTACTACAGACACCAGAGGGCTTTGTCACTGGAACGTAAACACAACCACTTTTATTAACAATAAAACGTAGCTATGAGTCATAATAAGCTGCGTGAGTGTATTACATGGGAGGAATGTCTTGTTGATGACCCATCCATCCACCCTAATGCCCTCTCTGTGATCTTTTGTTTCTCTACAGCAACGTCACCCAACTTCCTCTTTTTCTACTGACAGAGAGCTGTCATAATTACTCCATAAATACTCCAACCTCTGGAGGCCTTAGTCACCTGACAAATGCTCAAAGACTCCATAGACCTGAGAAGAACTGCGAGGTCAGGTGACAGCGACACACTTCACATAGTCGTTTGAACAACTGTTAATATAAAAACAATGACTGCAGCAGCTTGCGGTCATGTTGGTGTGAGCTCAACTTTTACCTGATACTTTTAATGCAGCCATTTTGCTGTAACTCATCACAGGAATCATTATAAACACAATAACACACACATTCAAACACATTTAACCAAGCTGTTGACAGCAAAAAGACATTCAATAGCACAATATAAGATATCGACAAATATATTTTACTTTCCAGACAGCTTCAATATACACATATAAAAATAAACATATATTCAAATAGAAGATTTCAGGATTGCAGAATATAACATTGGTCTATTCGGCTGGTCAAATAAAGGAATCGTATAGAAAACAATGCTGTTGGTTTTTTTTACATGCAGCATTAAAGAGTCGCCTAAGCCACAGCTTTTCCTTCACGATCTTTGTGGTGAAATGTCTGGGAAACAGAGTTTGATGGTCTCTCATATGGAGCTTTCAACCAGCACTTCAACGCACCAACCCTCACTGCTTTCAGTACGACCTGACCTTTAAAGAGCGATCCCTGAATGTTCATTGTGAAGTGGTAACTATGGGAAAATGTTTGGCCACAATGTTAAATATGCTAAACGCATGAGATTTGTAGATAAGAATTTATGGTTTGATTCCGTAGATGCACGTACGTCACGAGATGCCGTGCTCAGCTATAGCTCTCAGTCTGTCCTGGAGCTGGAGAGTCATGGTGGGTAAAGACAGCAATGCCAAAGCCAAGACAAAAGACAAGAGTGGGAAATCGCACAGGGGATTATTCTGCAGCCCTGAGCACAGAGAAAAGACTAAGAAGGAGGGAGACAGTATATGAACCACAGAGAGAAGAGAGACTGTGAGAAAGAGGGAATGAGGGGAGAAATGTAAGGATCAGTGACAGATGTGGATCAGGAGACAGAAACAAAGAGGCAGTGAATGAGATGTTGAGAGTCAATGGGTGGATCAGAGAGGTCAAGGGTGTGTGTGTGTGTGTGTGTGTGTGTGTGTGTGTGTGTGTGTGTGTGTGTGTGTGTGTGTGTGTGTGTGTGTGTGTGTATGTGTGTAGAGATGAAGATCAAGGGCAGATCAATGGACACTCACGGAGGGAGGAGGAGTCATATGAGAGATCAGTCTCCTGTGTTTCCTCAGGCGGGAACGGGTGACTGTGACCTCTTTGTCCGAGCTCCACCACACCCACCACTGATATATGACACCCCCACATCCCCACACCCCACCCAACAACAACAACAAAAAAAAAATGCCAACACCCTCCTCCTGGGACCTGCTATAACCTCAGGCTATCACTGAGAAGCTCTTCAGCAGACGGCGTCTACATGTATAAGATGTGACAGATATGGATTGTGCTGCCCTGCCCAGCAGCTAATGCTTATATGTGTGAGCTATGTGGATTTTCAAGTTCCTGATCTGCAGCTTTACTTGTCCATCTGAACTGGTCACACCTTCAGGAATTCAGTCAATAGTTAAAAACAGCATCTAATCTGACAAAAGACATTAAATGGAGCTGATGAGTTTGACAAATTTACCAAGTGATGAAGTGCCGCACATTAAACTTTCAACTCTAAACAGATTAAATGCATCAGGAGGATAAGGTGTCTCATCCCTTTACTTAACTGCCAAAGGAGATGTCTCACGTCTTCACAAATTTATATTAGAATATAAACAATTAACCCTTCGTTGAGTTGTCATCCTTTAAAATAGCTATCAAATATGAATTTGGTTCAAGATAATTATAAATTCATTTCGATTCGACTTGGTGATGGGAGGTTTAGTTCAATGTACAGTTTGTTTCTTTCGCTTACAACTGGCATCTACTATATGTGTGTCATATAGAGCTGATTAGTCAATAAAAAGAAAATTAATCAAATCTGCAGCTACTTTGTCAATCAATTAATCATTTCAGTCACTTTCCAAGCAACAATGCTGGTTCCAGATTTTGAAAAGTTGAGGATTTGCTGCTTTTCTTTGTGACATATGATGGTAAATGAAATCTCTCTGGGTTTTGGACAAAACAAGACGTTTGAACACAGACTAAACAATCAATTCATTAATCAACAGATTAATCAACAATGAAAATCATCTTTAAACCTTTAATACCACGTGTCTGCATGTATTCATTTGTGTTCATGCTCGTCCGCTGAACAGTTATTGGAAGTGGATTTTATATAACATATTGATGATTGATTGATTGATATATAATTACGAAAAAAAAAGTAATGGGAACAATGCACCATGCTTTAATCTTCACTATTCTATTCATTCATGACAAAAAGGCATGAAACAGAGATTGTCTGTGTTGTTGCTGTCGGTCACATCTGAATGAGCCTGATGGAGTCATTTCTTACACATTAACTGCAAACTATGACTGATTTCAGTCGCTGTGGCTGTGAGACATCCGAACAAACATGTCTCCATTCTTTTTTCAAAATCTCCCTGACTGGTTCCCAGGCCTCCGAGCGACCAAGCAGAATGATGGGATGGAGAAGAGGAAGGGGCAGAGAGAGGAGGACAAAAAAGAAGGAGAAGGAAAAAAAAAAAGGATGAAGATGTCAGCGATCGCAGGAAACAGCAACATCAAAGAGCTTGGCTTGGATTTCAGCATTTCTGTCACGGAGAGGAGGCACGCTGCTCAAAAGGACAAAATAAACCATTGTGACGAAATGTTTTTACATTTTCCCCAAGAGCCAATTAATCCCTGTTGTCCTGCAAACACCTCGTAACCTCACATTAACTTTTCATTAGGCTCAATGATTATCATGATTAGACAGATGGGGTTAAGAGCCAAATCTTGTTGAAACAAAAGTACTAATTTAACCACGGTGGC